GAAGTTTCGAATGTAGTGCTTTTCCTGCATGTAATTTTCAGGTTATGCTTTCCTGGGAGGAAAATTGCTATAAATCATTAATAACTTGTAGTTCTATTGTGTTGTATTTGGCTATAGCAGATTCTGACATAGATCATCTGACAGAAATAACTCCTTCCATAAGAGAACTATTTTCAGTTTATGCATCTTTTCTGTTTGCAGCATCTAAGGTGGATCCTCTGCACCTTGAGTATTTCACCTTTGCTGGCCGGGTGATTGCGTTAGCTTTGATGCATAAAGTGCAAGTCGGCATTGTCTTTGATCGTGTGTTTTTCCAGCAACTGGCTGGAACTTTAAATTTGTCTTTGGAAGACATACGAGATGCTGATCCGTTATTGTATAATAGTTGCAAGCAGATACTCGAAATGGATGCCGAGTTTATTGATTCAGATGCTTTAGGATTGACATTTGTTAGAGAGGTGGAGGAGTTAGGAGCCAGGAAAACTGTGGAGCTTTGCCCTGGTGGGAAAAGCAAAATTGTGAACAGCAAGAACAGGGAGGAATATGTTAATTATCTAATTCAGCATCGCTTTGTCACATCCATATCTGAGCAGGTGTCTCAATTTGCGCAAGGTTTTGCTGATATTCTATGTAGCTCAAGGATCCAGAGTTTCTTTTTCCAAACTTTAGAACTAGAAGATCTTGATTGGATGCTGCATGGAAGTGAAAGTGCTATTAGTGTTGAAGATTGGAAGGCACATACTGAGTACAATGGCTACAAAGAGACCGATCCTCAAATACTTTGGTTCTGGCAGGTATGCTTGCTTGATTCTTGTTTTATTAGCACTGAATGTGCTTGTCTTCTCTTAGCTTTCCCCTTCCTTCTATACTGCTTCTTCACTACTTACGTGCTGAAAGTACGCATAAGATTTGTTTGTTATCATACTAAGTTTTCTATTGGGGGATGGTTAACATCTATGCTTTTCAAAACATAGACATGAAGAAACAGCTACATATGCATGTGATAGTGAATTTATCACATGAATATGCATTTTTCTTATTTGTCTTGGGTTGTTTACTTGCTGGGCAAATAAAGACGTAGAGAAAAAATAAAATAAAAATGTAAAACCTTTGTTCAATGCAGGAAAATAATTTATAAAACGCCTTTAAGCTCAGAGCACAAACCAAACATGAGTTTTGTGAGACTTGTGTCCTTGGATATCAGATGCTGCACATTTCAAATGAGGGAAGTTTCTTGCAGATCACAATGTAAGGCTCCATTTTGATGAAAGGATTTAAAAATATGGATTTGGACTTTAATAATAAACTTATGTTGAGTGGAAGAACCATAAAAAAAAAAACAAGATACAAGGTAATTGAATTGGATTTAAATGCCTACATAGAGTATGATATCATGAAATCGAAATGACTAGTTACAATGAATCATATAAGTTTCATGTTTTTTTTGGGTATATAAATACTAGCTTTTATTTATTGTTAACATCATATTCAAGCAATTTAACTATAAAAATGAACTAAAGTCTAATGCCAAAGAAAGATACGTAAACTAAAGTCCCTAGATTTAAATCAAAACAAAACCTAAATGTCATGCTTGTCTTTGATTTCTTCTTATACCTTCTATGTATGGCATTGTTTGATCGAGGATGAGTGCCCTTTCTTGGTAAAGAAGAGTGTCAGGTTTTCCTTTTGAGTGTGTATGTGTTGTCATTATAATCCAGTATAGTTGAAGTAATGATGTACAAAATTAAGTTCTCAAGGAGTTTGGTTAGTGTATGTATGTGGAAACTTCTGGTGTTGAATGGACTTAATTTGTCGCTCTACTACTATTTGGGTTGACGTATTGATATGTATATGTTACTGGGGATGCTTGGCTTTTCTGGGCTGTATTAGTTGAATCAACCAAGAATTATACAAAAAAGAAATCTAACTTGCGTCTTGTTTGTTTTATTTATTTATCTGTGTATCTTATATATTTACTTTTTTTCACCTATTAAGCTAACATATTAATCACACTAAAGTTTTGGGGACAAACTGCCAAGCAGTGTTACTCATAGAAAAAGTCTTAATTTTCCAGACTTTAGAGACCTGTCTTTTAGGAATATTTGGCTAGATTGGAAAGCAGCCATCTGCTCGTTTTCTAGAGTTAGTTTATACATGCCCTTGTCATGATGGGTGTGTAGGGGCCTGTTTCGTTTTCTGCTTTCCTTTGCTTTACTATTTTCTTGTGGTCATCTTGACCACCTTTGTACTTAATTGAATTTTGTAATAAAATCTTGTTTCCTTCACAAAAAATAGAAAATAGTCTTAGTGAACCAGTTTGGTTTAATTGTTAACTGAGATTGGTCATGGAAGCATTTGCTTGTGTGCATGATTTGAATTTCAAATTAATGAAAGCATGCAACAGGATGGTTTTGAATTAACAATGGGATGATCTCATGATGGGTGTGTAGGGGCCTGTTTCGTTTTCTGCTTTCCTTTGCTTTACTATTTTCTTGTGGTCATCTTGACCACCTTTGTACTCTATTGAATTTTGTAATAAAATCTTGTTTCCTTTTTCAAAAAATAGAAAATAGTCTTAGTGAACCAGTTTGGTTTAATTGTTAACTGAGATCGGTCATGGAAGCTTTTGCTTGTGTGCATGATTTGATTTTCAAATTAATGAAAGCATGCAACAGGATGGTTTTGAATTAACAATGGGGTGACTAATAAATCTGTGTTTATTACGTTCCCGCTGAAATTGGCTGAGGACTTGAGGATAGGAGTTGATTTCCAGATAGACTGCGTCTTTATATTTTCTTAGGTTGTGGTTATAAAGTACCTTAATAAATTTTACTGTTTTACACTGAAGTTATGGAGCAAAATGTTTTTTTACTTGTGCGGTTACTTAAATTGTCACTTTTTTGTTTCTGTCGGGCCTCGTGTAGGCAACTTATGGTATTTTAAATACAGTCGTATAAAATCTATTATATGCTGCTTTTGCCTGAAGTTGCTTGATCACCTTTGTACTGCACTTTTTCCCTTCCTCTTTTGGCTCTGATGTCTAGATTTCTTAATCTTCATAGATGCTTTGACTAAATAAAGAAGTCTTTATAGATCTAATATCATGGAACATAAGAAGGCGTAATGAAATGTTAGAAAATCAAAATTTTCAACTCACAATGGGCCAACACGATGAATTGTCTTAAAGTTCATTCTGGTGGCTTTTGGACTATGCAATTAGTTATTTAGCACTGCTATTAGACATTACAGCATCGGTTCCTCAAACTTCATTTGCAGCTGGGATCATTTTATACTACGTGGTTGATGTAGGCATGATTGAAAGACAGGAAAAGCAGCTAAAAGTTGCTTTGTTTTGGTAAAGCTTTGAGCATAGAACTGAAACAATTGACCATGTTAATCTGGGGGTAGTTGGATGCTGCATAATCAGCTGATAGCAATATAAATATGAGTATTTGTTGCTAGTTTGTTATGTGGTTAAATTAATTTCTTTAAAAATTGTGCAGATTGTTGGGGAGATGTCCGCAGAGCAGAAAAAGGTTCTTCTCTTCTTTTGGACCTCTGTGAAGTATCTTCCAGTTGAGGGGTTTAGTGGTTTGGCTTCTCGGCTTTACATTTACAAGTCCTCAGAGCCGTACAGCCGTCTGCCTTCGTCTCATACATGCTTTTACCGGTTGTGTTTCCCAACTTATCCATCTATGGCTGTCATGCAAGACCGCCTTAACATCATCACCCAAGAACATGTTGGCAGTAGCTTTGGGACATGGTGATATATTAGTAGTTGCATCTGCATTTTGGGGTAAAAAGGGGGATTGGACTGCACATAAAAAGGACTCGGTACTCAGATTGTACAGATTATAGGACACCGTCATCGTCTTGTCATTTGACTAATGTTAGAAGAGACTATGCTAGTGTTTTCTTTGTTGAAGGCTTGCAGTGTCATTGCTATTTTTGTCAACTGTCTATATAGGGTATAGCTATAAATAAATTGGGAGGCAAGAAATAAGAAAATTTCTCTACCTAACGGACGTTTATTTCATGACATGTTAGTACACTCAGATATGATGCAATGGCATGCAAGTCTATATACAAAGATTTACCCGTCTCTGGCCTCATTTTGGTTGCCAATTATTTCCCTCATTGAAGCATTTTTGAGTTTGTGTGTAATCAAAGAAACTTGTATATATTGGTGTAATGCGCATCTCATTTTAGTTTTGGTATGCATGTTTTTCGGTCGGAGTGGCACTACGTTGGCCTTACGTGACGGGAGAGAGTTCAACTCAGCTCTCTCCGGATGCCCATTACTCTCCTTTGGCCTTACGTGACGCGAGAGAGTTGAATCAACTACTCGCTGGATGCCCATTTGCTGCTCACACGACCAGAAATCTCAGTACTGAGCCTTTACAATTACAGGCTTCACAGCATTGCAGGCGGTAATATCATGCAAGTTGATCCTACACTTTTACTGCAAATTTCTAATTTCCACTTTCTTATATGTGTGTGAGTTAAGCCTTTTGATGTTCTACTATTTGCGCCTCCTTAACGAGCGCTTAACCTTTGTTGGTAGAAATAAAAGAGGGTCATCATGATCTCTCTTTGAAGTGCAAGCTCATACCGACATTGGCATAAAGAAGGCCAAAACTTTTACAAAAATTCCAACAAGGGCGAGGAGAAGAAAGATATAGCAAAACAAACAAGAATATTGTAAGTGCATAAATAAATATTATTCAAAACTAACAGAAATCACATCTCTTCTTCACACCAATTCCACTTACTTCAATCCAACACCATGCATGCCATCGTCTTGAACATATATGATATAGAGCTTAAAATAAGGGTAGATTCCAAATGCCATACCCCACTAATTTAAAACCTTACCTCCATTATAAACTAAAAACCAAAATATAAATGTAGCTAAGAAGCTGACCAAATTGGACATGCATCCTAGAAAATAACCCCCACAAACAAACTTCTCTGATGATGATGATGATGTCATAAATCTTCTACTCCTCTGTCTTCTCGACCGGAACATCTGTGGTAGCTTCCTCTGCTTTCTCTTCCTCTGCAGGAGGAGCTGCTGGTGTCTCAGCACTTTCGGTGGTCTCTTCTTTGGTCTCCTCTGCAACAGCAGCAACAGGCTCCGCTGCTGTGACCTCTTTGGGCTCTTCTGCCTCTGTTTTCTCTGTTTTCTCTGTTTCTGTTGCTGCTGGCTCCTCTGCCTCAGCCTCAGCAGCCTTGGGTTCCTCTGCCACCTCCTTGGTCTCAACTTCAGCTGGAACTGGAGCTTCAGCTTCAGGAGCAGCAGGTGCCTCTGCCTCTGCTTCTGCTTCTGCTTCTACTGGTGTGGTTTCCTTTGGCTCTTCGGTGGTTGCAGCCTCAGACTCGGGGACAGCAGCTGGTGCTGCAGCCACAGGCTCTTCCGGAGTTTTCTCCTCAGTCTTGATCACCTCAACTGTCTTTGCCTCATTTTCTTGCAACGTTGCTGCTGGTGCAACCTTCAAAATCAAGTTTTGTCAAAAAAAAATCACTCATATTTTCATGTTAAGAAGCTAATATTGCATGATAACATAAATTACATAAAATCCTAAGTTTTCGACATGGGTCGATCCATCAACTTTCAATCTTTATATTTGTATGCAGATCAGTAGCAATAATATGTCAAGTCAACACATACACACACACGCATATATATATATATATATATATATTTATGCAGATGGGTTGTTTTTGAAACCAAAGAACACCAAGAAAAGCAACAGAGATATTGTGTCTATATAGATGAGCTCGCATTACCTCAACAGTGGCCATTGCTTTAGCAAAGGGTAATGAAAATTGAACAGAAAAACTGGGAAAATAGAATGCTTGAAGAATCAAGATATGGGAGGAGTGAGTAAAGAGTGCTTAATTGCTAGTGAGTGAGAGAAATGATCAATGTGAGAGCTATATATAGATAGATGTGTGAGTGCCTCAATGCCTAAATCTTATAAATAAATAAAAAATAAAAAAAAGAAAAGGAGAAAGAGAGCACTTGAAGAATCTTTTGGCAATTTGACACCTCATGGTCCCTGACACAAATTAAAGGACATTAACTTGTCTAGTTGTAAATGTTTTTGGTTTGGTGTTTTTTTTCCCTTCAGATTTTAAAGTATATTTTGTAATAGAAATAGCTTTGTAGACAATGAATGAATTGGAATGGCAAATGGTGGAGGCCATTTCTCATATCAGCATCATATCTTTCTTTTGAATTGGTTTTTCTATGTTTTGTGCAGTAGGGCATGTAGGTGACTGGCCATCATGCACTCATGTTCTTGTGCCCTCCATTTCTTTTTTATGTCTTAGTTAGTAGGCCCTATCACTAATTAGCTTAGCCTAATTTCGGTTAATAGTCTTCTTTTCTTTTTCTAGTATGAGTGAGTGAGTGTTCCAACATTGCTTTTGCAAATTAAAAACGTTACACAAGATGCAATAGAATGTTAGAGAGAAGGTTGCTAGCATTGCCCTTAAACTAAATTAAATTCATCTAATTTCCGCACTTTTATTATACAAGAGAATAGAACAAAGTTTGAGACAAGAGTTATAATTTCAACTAAAATAAATTCAAAAGTACAACAACTCCCTCTCTCCAGCAATTACACGATTAATTACGTGATGGTTGTATACAATCGGTGATAATGCATATTTTATTTTCCTTTTTTTCTACTCAATGTTGAATAGGCATGGCATGGGGGACGGGGGCATGAGGAATGCACAGAATCTGCAATATAATTCAATTTTGTCACTAGCTCTGATTAATTGATTAATTAATCAAATGCACAGGATTAGTAGACAAATTGAAGCAGAGGGTACAAACTTGATGGTAGTGTCGTTTAGTGGTAAAAAAGAGAGAGGCAGCTTTTACTATAATAGTCAAAAATTTGTTTACCATTTTTAAGGTTTCGCATTCATTCTTCATCATAATCACTTTGGAGAGAATTGAATTTGGGACCAAAAAACAACAACTTGATCGATCATCCATCAAATGGACGCGAGCCAAACACAAGAAAACAACGTATCAAGGCCGGTGACTGGTGCCTCAGGGTGGGACCCAACATCACCAACTGCGATCATCACCGTCCACATGGGCCCCCCATTCCATGTGGACCCACATGCAAAACAAATAAAAAACGCTGCCGTGGCAACCCTTCCCATCCTTTGAGCCCATTGCGCTTGGCTTTGGCAACCGCCCTTTCTATAAAGATGAGGGCTGCGTGGGCCCAGTGGGTCCTGCTGTTGATGCTTTCCAGGTCGGATACTCGTGACTCCGGACCCACTTGCATCCGTCCGATTTGCCTTGCTGGATTACACTCATCGCTCCGATTATATCGTCAACTGCACACGTACTATACTACCCTTATCGATATTAGGTACTCTGGCCAGCCATAGCTGCTACACTCTAGCCAAGTAAAGGGCATATTCGTCATTGACTGATCCAATAAGAATTTACTATGTTATTGTGGATCTCTATAATAATAATTTTGAGATACGTATAATATTCTCTTGCACAGAGTAACTCGAATTTTGGACGAAAGTAAGCAAACAATCCATCATGCCTCGCCTCGACTTGCGCGTCATGAAATTCATACATGCCATGCCCCCTTGTAATGTAAATAATCATTACGTGTGATGTGTATTAGTATTAGATTAAGTCAAGGTTAACTTCATCTCATTACTAATTTTGTATTTTGTTATTAGTAATCTCGGGATAAAATGTGTCCAGGTTGGATGGACTCCGAAAGGGGAGAAAGACTTCATTAATCTCATTTCATTGCTCCTTTCTTTGTATATTTTCCTCACGTTATTTATCACAAGAGGCAAAAAAATAAAAAGAATGAGACAATAAAACGGGAATAAGAAATTGTTTTTCATAGATGTACATCGTTTCCTTCCCTAATTTGTAACGGCGAATGTGCAACAAAGGGAAAATAGTTTGATAAAGGCTGTAGAGCATGGGACGGTGGGGAGTGTCCCACCAAATGGACCCCGCCAAAATTAGTGTGATGAGTGATGACAACAATAAACAATCGGACCAGTCAGTAGTCTACATGGCATGGCTTTTTATAAGTAGAAAAAGTAGAACAGGGGAAGAGACAACTGAGCGCAGTTCCACTGGGGAGGTGGGACCCATGCGTCAACGGCTGGTCAACAATTCCATGACTCCGGTTAGTGTGTGTGGGGTATAGGTGTCATACACGTAAGCCTGAGTTTGGCCATGCTGGGAAAACAATCCCCTTTGCCCATACGCAATTGTCCAAAGTAGAATGTAGGAGGTACTATTTCCCTTACTAATATATATATAAGATCGAAACGCACGCAAGATTTTACGTTCCAAATTTATATAATGTGAGCGGAGGATGATTTAAAACGAGAAAGATTACTTTTTTAAATTATAAAATAAAATAAAAATTTATAAATAAACTACGTAATTTTAATTTATCAATTAACTTACTTGAGAAAGTTTCTCAAGTCACATACTTGCGCTTAATCTTATATAGAATCTCTATATATAAAATTTTCTTCTGAATTGTAGCTTTCAACATGATTGGCTATGACAATGGAAGAAGGGTGGTGAGTTTTATACGTAACTACCAAGTTTTAATTGGTCCATTTCATATGGAGCTTTTAAATCCCAATTAATTGCCAAAAACGTCACAATCAGAACAAGTGTTTCTTTTCAGCAAGAACCAAGTGATCTAATTGATTGAGCTCTAGCTACTCAATCAGAAACTAACTAGCTTTAGGTAATTTGTTTATGTTTTTTCTTATCGTCTTGACATATGTTTATAAAGAAATACTTCCTTAATCTTGTTTTATTGCTTTTTGTATTTTTATCTATCTTTTATTTGATAAGTGACATGCGGAGAGATATAAGAAGAATGAGACAATGAAACGGAGGTAGGGATGTTTCTTCTCAACGTTCATGACTTGTATATTTTGGAATTGCAATTTGCAACCCTTGGGCAAACATCTTTCTAATATTTCTTTTCCACTCTTTTGTATACCCCCGCACCGCACGTTCTTTTTCAAGTATGTTTTCCTCTTGGTTGATTGATTCTTTCTTTCCCATGTCCAATTTAGCAGCAGGTCCAGGTAGGCCACCATATATACAAAGTGGGCCTTGGATCGATAAGAGACATATCAATCAATCAAAACTTCCGAAGTTTCGGCCACTGAGAATGAATGACTCTGGATCACGGAAGGAAGGGGAAACCTCGGCTGTCGGCTCTGCTTCAATTGAATCTTATTTCTTCTTGTACTGAGTGAATGTGAATCTTTAAAGTTGCAGACCACATTCATGCTAATCATGTTCATTAAAGAACATAGCACGCACTTTTTTCTTTGGGTCCTTTTCCGTCAAACCTCGAAAATTATAATTCCAACCGGTAGCAACTTTGTTATTTCTTTTATTTTTTAACCAACTCCAAAAGCCTCTTTTGCAAAGTAATTGTATCGATGGCATCCATAAACATAATAATAAAACTACTTAAACCACTCTTTTACAAATATAATATGTCATGTTGACATAATAGGATAGAGAGTTGTGTATAAGTCACTCACAATATTTTATTTGAAAACATTTCCTGCGAGGCTGCGATGCAAAAATGAAAATTGGAATCTCAAAATAATTTAATATTTTTTGAAGTCAATACAAGCTACAACAAGCAAAGCGTGTCATTGTTTAATGATCAGAACAACTTTAACCTTGTTACAGACTATAATAAGGTTTTCAAAAGTTCCTATATTGTTCATAGGTCTAAGTCTAACTGACTTTCCTGCCGGTGGGAATGGAAGAAACCTAAGACTGGAACACGCAAGGCAGAGAACGGTGTTTCCGAGCCACCCAGACAACTGCATGATTCGGTTTTTCAAATGGCAAGTTTCTTCAACACTGCTTCAGCACGGTGCTCAAATTTTGGTAAGGCCCAATCATGCTGGACTATGTCAAGACTGTCCTTCTCAGCGCCCAAGCTCTGACCAATTAAACAAATACGGAAAACCGTATAGATTAGGAGTGGTGATACAGAAAAAAATTGCTTTAGATTTTATTTTAGAGTTAAGTTTTTATCTCGAAACGTGAAGCCATACATTTAACAAATTATAAGGTAATGCTCCAATACTTTTCATACAGCTACACATTTGTTAGATATGAAGTATGTTAGGGACAATTCACATCCGTCCATTCTCTTCCAAAGTTGATCATGCAAAGTGATGGGTGCTTCACAATCTAAGAAATAATAAATTAAGGGCCCATAACCATTTTAATTTTAGTTTTTAGTTTTCATTTTTTGTGTGAGTATAGAGGAAAATAGGAGTGAGAATGGGAGTGAGTGAGATTGAGAGAGATGATGAGAGGGGAGGGTGGGAGGGAGGAGTAACAAAAGTGAAAATAAAAACTTGAAAGTGAAAACAATTTCAAATATATTTCAGTTTTAGTTTTAGTTTTCACTTTTGTTACTCCTCCCACCCATCCTCCCCTCTCGTCTTCCCTCTAAATCCCATCTCCACTCTCATTCTCACTTCCATTCTCCCTCTTGTTCCTCTATACTTTAGCACACAAAATGAAAACTAAAAACTAAAATTGAAATGGTTATCAAACGGGTCCTAAGTAGTTTAAGGAGATCACATCCACTGTCAGTCAAGTGAGTAAGTTGATTGGACGACATATAAGCCCCAACATACCTATTGTCCCAAAAGGAAAAATCCCTGACCTTAACGTTCACACAACTTGACAACAAATGCACTTAAAAAACAACAGCGATGACAATGCATAGAATCCAAGGTCTAAAAAGGATACTTTCATGAAATGTAGTTAGATATCAGTTATTTTCGTTCATCATATTGAGCAGGCCAAATTACATAAATAGAATAGTTGCGAAGAAACTAAAGAATGGCATCTGAAATTTTCTAAGATTTATGACTCTTAAACCTCGAGGATTACAAAAAACTATTAAGTTCATACCTTTGATGGATCAAAACCAAACCCACTCATTTGCATCATACGTTGAGTATCATCCATTGCTGCATATGAAAAGTTTTTATTTTAGTTTATCAACCTCCTAGAGTACATAAATTCTAGCTCATAGTTTCAGTGTTACATGCGTGAAAAGAAGCTCAACATGCATTTCTGAGTATGAAAGCTATCATGGTGAAATAATCACAAATTGTGGCACTAACCATTTTCTTCTCCCAGAATGAGACTAAACAAACCTCTTAATCCAAACAGATTAAGAAAGTACCTGAGAGAAAGAGATTTTGAATAATTTGAGACAATCAGTTAAGCAAACAACCAAGAGGAGGAAATTGTTTTAAGTACCATGAGCGGCTACTGACATAGCTAACATCAACAGTGCTTAAGTCAATCCCATTCTGCAGCATTGACCTGAACCTTTGAGTAAGAGGAAAGGGTATTTTGGCTGTGGAAAAGAAAAAGAAACAAATATATAACATGATAACTTGACCATATGATAATAACACTTTATATTAGTGAATACAACCATACATACATTGAACAACGATCTATCATACAGGCAGAGCAGAAAGGGAAGAAGAAAGAAGGATGACAAATTTATGGAAGCACCAAGGTGAAAGAACATTAATGACATAAAAGAGTAGAAGTCACAACTGGAAAAAAATAACACAAAACGCAAGAAGTCACAAGTTCGAGTATTTGCAAGATTCACATCCCATACAAAGTAACAAAGCAGTTGCATAACATAGGAACAGAAAAATTGGATTCAGAGGCATTGAAACTTACCTGCTACAAATCCAGAAAAGAAAAAGTTGACCCATGCAAAAGTAAGAGTCTGGCCAACACAAAGGCGATCATAAAAATATCAGTTACCATATCTGAGAAAATAAAGCCAAATTACAATAAAAACACAAGCAATTTGAAATACCTGGGGTATGATCATAGACAGATTTTTCTTCATCATGTCCATAGCCATGTTGGGATCAGAGAACATTTGCGCTTGTGCATTCTGTGCCTGACCCTTGGGAACAATTAACAACCCATTTTCCTGCCACAGTGCAACGTGTTTGACTTAAGTATCAACAGAGTGACAACAACAAATAGCAGACTACAAGCTAGTTTCAGCAAAAGCATCTGCTATAAAAGAACCCCTGAAGCATATAAATCAAAGTTGAGAATTCTTGCCATGGTGGATTCAAATTTCCAATCCAAATTACATAACGCCTAATGCTAACTCAACTCATCAACAAGATGAACAAATAAAAATTGTTTTCCAGCTTATAATTTGAAGATGAACAAAAACACGTCAATTTGAGTGTTATTAGGGGAATTACTTGCATAAATAGCAATTACAGCGAGAATTAATATCAAACCTCATTGCTGAAATAAAACCGGCGAGCGCGAAACGACTTGGGAGGTATGAAATTAGCAGCAGCACGTAAATTCCGAGCCCTAATAATCAATTGCCTGAAATTCGCAAAGAAATTTAATTTGATAAAGTCAGATAGAGAATTAGTAATATATATAGATGCGTTTAGTAAGCATGCATAATTAGTGTTGATAGAGAGACCCTTCTTTGATGATTTTTGCATCGGGGACTTGGTTGGAGCGCATGAGCTTGGAGACGAAGTATCGGAGGACACCTATGAGAACCATGACCACCGAGAGAGGGATGAGAACCCAATCTCTGATGGCTGTGTCTAGCACCAGATCTGCCGCCATTGTTGGACCTCACAGGCACTAAATGACACTCTTTGGTTCGTTTTGGGTCTCTGCTCTCCTCTGCCTCGATCGATTGTTTCTCTCACTACACACACTTCCGTTAAGCAAAGGTGAAAAGATCAAAGACGGACGAGGGACATCCGTGTCCCTCTTGGATAGTCAAAGGTTATTTTTGTCTTTAAAAGTCGTGGATTTCATATGCTGAGTCCGAACAACCCAATAATGAAAGAGTGATAGGCCCAGCCCAATCATTCTCATCAACTGCTAGAAAAAATTTCTGATTAGTCCAACAAATCAAAATAGTATATAATCACAAATTTCAAAATGATAAATCATCTGGCCTATTAGCTCAGCTGGTTAGAGCGTCGTGCTAATAACGCGAAGGTCGCAGGTTCGAGACCTGCATGGGCCACTTTTTCAGCTGTTTTACCTATTTTTCAATCCTCAGTATATGTTTTTCACCAAAGAAGTTTCAATTGGTATTAAATATTTTAATTGACTTCATAAAAATTAATTAATTTTTTAAAACTTTTTTTCGGCTTTAATTTTCATAATGATAAAATTTTCTTTGGAATCGCTAATTACTTGATAGTTTTAATTGAGTAATATCTTACTCTTAGTTAATTAATATAATTAGTAATTAGCTTTTAGTTATTACTTGTTTAGTCATATTTCCTTTAATGAATTTGAATATTCAAACAGCTGCGCAGTTATACTTTTTAAATATATTATGTTTTAATTATTATTTAATAAATACAAAAATTAAAATAAAGAAACTTATTTATATTTTAAATTTTAAAAAAAAAACCTCTCCCGACGAACTTTCGTTGGCATAGATATATGTTGGCAAATATTTGTCAGATAACCTCTCCCAACGCAATTTATCTCTGCCGACGAAATTTCGTTGGGAAAAGTCTAATCTGTCAAAGTTTTGCCATGATAGACCTATGCCGACGAAGATTCGTCAGGAGAGGTTTTTTTAACATAAATTTAAATTTAGTATCTTTTTAGTAATTTGCTTTATTTAATTACTTTTAATTATTATTTATTTAGTGAATAATTAGTATTAAATATTTTAATTAACTTCATAAATAGTTTTTTTATTTTTTACTAAGTAAATAATAATTAAAACATAACTATTAATTAAACAAATTAAAAAAGAGAAATCAAGATTATGCTATTTTATGGAGTACAGCAGCACGGCTGTGCGTTTAAAATATTCTATTTATGGGGTATAGCCAGGCGGCTATACGTTTAAAATAAACTATTTATGGCGTATAGCCGCCCGGCTATACGTTTAAAATATTCTATGCAGAGTACAGCCGGGCTGCTATACTTTCAAAATATTCTATGTACGGGGTGTCGCCGATCGGCTATACTCTTAAAATATACTATTTATGGTGTATAGCCGCGCGGCCATACTTATAAAATATACTATTTATGGCGTGTAGCCGCACGGCTATACAGTTAAAATATTCTATTTAAAGAGTATAGCCGCGCGGCTATACGGTTAAAATAAACTCTCATATAGCCGCCCGCCCGGTGATACGTATAAAATATTCTATGTATTGAGTATAGCAGCTAGGTATGGAGTATCGCCGACCGGCTATACTTTTAAAATATTCTATTTATTTTTAGTTCATTCTGAATTTGGCTCAAAGATTTTATCAGCTATTCAGTTTCATCCTTTATATCCATTGTGTTGGATGCTGATTCCTGCACCATTCTAAAATCAAAATGCAAGCCCTCCAGTAGAGCATCTTTCCGTTGCAGTTCTTCCTTCAGTGATAAATTCTCGTGCATCAAACTATCACAGGACAAACTGAGCTCACCAGCTTTCAAATTTGTGACTCCACTTTGATCATTATTGTCTTTGGAGATGTTACTAGTAAGTGCAATGTCATCCTCACAACTTGACCACATTTTTTGTTGTTTGTTTGTAATTGAAAGGCCTTCTTGCTGTCTGCTGGAGTGGAAACCACTTCCAACGTTAAAGCATGGTATTTTATGGATCAGCTCTTCTGTGAGACACTGATGAAGGACAAATATGGCAAATTTTTTCTCCAATGTCTCAGCGCATATTTCTTCTAGTAATGATCTTAATTTGCTAATGAAGCAGTGTATCTCCCTTCCCATAGAAAAATTATCAGCATATAATACTTTGAAACTGTCCTCCACTTCACTTTTTAATTGCATAAAACACTCTTTCAAGCAAAGACAATGATTTTGCTATCTCCACCAAATTATAACGAGATTGATCCTGCAGTAGTTCATTCTCTCTTTCTTTCAAACGTACTGAATTTTTGAGATGTTCAACTTCTTCAATAAAGCTTGCTTTCTCTAACATCAGTTCCTCACCAGTTTGCTTCCACAGGCCAGTCAATTCTTTTGCATTTTCATTTGCTTCCATCAAGGCATTTAACATAACATCAGCTTCTTTTATTGTTGCATGCGCTTTGGTTAAGAAGCTACTAGCAAAATTATTCTTCTCATCAGAAACTACCCGCACATCACAAGAGTGTTACATAAAGTATAAGAACGGTGATTTTGCTGACTTAGTCTTATTTAGAAAAGATTGGTTAGGACAGTGCTACTATTAATCCTTTCTAACATATAGTTGCCTCACAAATTTACAATGCAAGAATTGGATGATTTGAAACAAATTTGTTGTGCCTTTTTTGTAGCATGACAACCATAAGAACTCTCCGTCCTTGACTCAAACAATGGAACAAGTTGTTTCAGCCCTGCATATAATATGAGCTGATTAAGTCCCTTGATCAATTTATGTTTCTGATGTTAAAAGTGTAAGATATTCAGTAAAGAATATACCTGCTGGTTGAGAACAACCTCCAATGTCCAACTCGCTAATGAGTGTGGCTAGCCTAACATATAGTTTGTTGAAAGCATCAAGTGCCATCTCTAATTCCTTTTTCAGGCAGAATGTTGCTCCTTTAGAGTCCGTGAAAGTTTTTAAGACCAACTTTGACTCTTCTGGATCTTGATCTTGATCAGCAGACTGTAAGTACTGAGCGTTCATTAACTTTCAGGTCCCCCATTTGCCCTTCTAATGCCCACAATTTGTTTCCAGAAGCAGAACTTTCGGTTGAAGAATCACAGCTTGACGTAGTACTATCAGTACTCCATTCATCTTCATCTTCTGAACTTTTGTCTGCTGAAGGGCAATCATACACATTTACTTTTGTGTAAATGAAATCTTCAGTAATTTTCAATCTACCATTTGCTACAGTGAGCTCAATTTTTATTTCAAGAATCATGTTATAAATATTTTTAGACTTCAGATACTTGTGTGCTTCTAATGAAAGCGACTCAACTGTACAAAACTGAGAAACTTTGGAATGCTCTCTTAACTCCATATATTTCTTCCTCATTTCACGTTCACTTACCAAGTTTTGAACCAACTCCTTGTATTCATCAGAAACTTCGGTGATGTTGGTCTCAAGGGCCACTATATGCATTTCTGTATGTGCATAAAATGCTTCGATAGCATTCTCAGACTCCAATATTCCTAACCTGGCCAATTCAAGTTCAATAATGACATCTTCTCGTCCTAAAGCATTTACTTTTCTGGCTGGTGTACCTAGTATTGAGATGGGAATGTTTCTCTCTGTTTTGTCTGTCACCTTTTATTACAAGGAATGCAGCATTGGCACAATTTTCTGCTTCTTTGACCTGAATTTCCTTGAATATAAGTTTCCTCTCTAGCATCTCTACCATGTTGGTCTGCTCATCCAACCGCATGCAGAAGGAAGTTTCCTCTTTGGTTTCATCATTATCCAGATATTGGAGTTCACTTAAAGCAATTGCTGCTCCCTTCAAGGAACTTAACTTCTGTCCCATTTCTGTTACCATCTTTTGAGCGTCTTCCAAACTCTTTTGTATTAGTTCAATTGTTTCTTCCTTTTCCATGCAAACTTTGGCAGCCCTCTGGACATCTTCACTAATACAAACATTAGCTTGAGGAAATGAACAACCAATACTTTCTATTTGGCTGGAGGCATTTTTGAGGGATCTAGAACCATCTAGGAGGAATCTTGTTAGTTCAAAGGTTGCCTTTTCCCACTCCACACTCAGTGACCTTATCTCATCCTCTTTAGCTGCAATGGTGTTTTTCAGTACCTTATTTTCCTGAATCATGCAGTGTAATCTCTCATCAAGTTCAAACTGAAGGGCAGCAACCTCTTCCTGTAAATGAAGAATTCTGTTTGCTGTCTCCTTCTCAACCTGTTCACAGACTATTTCAGTCTGTTTCTGGTGAGACAACTGTAATAGCCGATCCTCTTGAAAGTGGCTATTGAGTAATCTGACCTCCTCCAAGTCCTTAACCATTTTGTCCAATTTAGCTTGCAAAGCCTTCCTCTCAACGTCTTCACTGATCTCCATAATACATTTGTTTTCCTTATGTAAATCACCTGATTTCAGATAACGACGTTCATGTTTCACCTCCGATTGGATTTCTATTTTGTCGTTGTTGCTTGATATGCACATGTCTCTGCAGCATTCCTCCTGCACGTGATGTTAAATGAACCTGCAACAATCTAGCATCCATTTACTGTTTTTTGAGTATCATCACCAGCATTTTGGTCAACATGAATCACATTATTCTGTACAACCCCATCATCTACCTGGGAGTAAGATGCCGTTTCATCTCCAGAGTCACTCCCCATAGATAGGGTTTCAACCTGTAAAGTGATGGCCAATTGTAGATTTGATTCAAAAAAGAAGGAAAAGAACAGTACACGATGTCTATGTAAAACTTGAATCTATTTAAAACTAATTGGTTTCTGTCTGGTACAAATTTTTTCCCTCTTCCATGGATCTTTTCTGTTTTCTTTTTAGTAAAATGAAGTATGCAAGAATGGAAGTGGTAACTTTTCCATGAATTAGCTTGGACAGTGCAACACAATGTGATTTCATGGCATACGTCAAAGTGCAAATTCAAGGAGTGTCCATAAACTAGTAAACTTAAAAGAAAATAAAGCAGCTAAGAAATGCACTGTCGTATGCTAGCCCCGGTAGAACTAATACAAATTTGAGGGCAGTTTGTTGCAGTAATTGATAAAACATGTGTAAGTGTATATTGTTAAAGAAAAAAAATAACCTGATCAATTTAGAATTCATGTTCCTGCAATCTTCCCATTCCTTTATGGTATCACTATTCTGCACTCTTGAAAATACGCACATAAAGATTTGGAGGTCCCTATATATCATTTGGAGTCCCTAGAATTCATGTGCCCTTTGTCATATTTCCTTAAATAAATTTGAATATGCAAACAGTATAGCCGCCCGGCTATACTCTTTAAATATATAATGTTTTCATTATTATTTAATATATAAAAAACAAAACAAAAACAAGGTCCACAAAATAATTATTTACTATTTATTAAGTAATTTATGAAATCAGTAAAATATTTAAATATTCACTAGAAAAAATAGGAAAACAACCTCTCTCGACAAAATTTTGTTGGTACAGATATATGCCGGCGATAATTTTCCTGATTAGACCTCTCCTGATGAATGTTTGCCGACATAAGTCTATGTTGACAAAATTGCATCGGGAGAAGGCTATGCCGGCAAAGTTCATTCGGGAAATGTCTAATCTAAAAAACTGTTGCCGGCATATATCATGCCTACGAAATGTCGTCGAGAGAGGTTTTTATTTTATTTAAAAAATATATATAATTAGTATTTTTACTCTTTTTTTGGCCAACTTCTTTCGTTTAGTAGATGTAATTAAATAATATCTTAGTTTTTTAATTACTTTAATTAGTAATTATATTTTAATTGTTATTCTTTATTGAATAATCATGATTTAAATATTTTATTAATTTCATAAATTACTGAATAAATAGTGATTAAATTATTTTAAATTATTTTGTGGACTTTTTATAATACAAAATTAGTTTGTTTAGTTTAATATTTGTAATTAAGTAATATCTTAGTCTTATTTAATTACATTAATTAGTGATTTTGTTTTAGTGATAATTTCATAGTTTTAAATTTAATACACTTTCGAGACTGAAATTATGGACCCTTCAATCCAATAAAAGACACAAATTAATAGATTTATTAGACATTAAATAAATTCCTTTGTTGTTAATGCAGAGGAAGAAGAAGAAGAAAGCAACCAAATAAGGCAGAGACAATAGCATAACCAAGGAAGAAACCTAGCTTGTGGGAAAGATACCTAACTTGTTAGTTGCTATTATTGACGCATGCAAGATATGGACCATCCATATGGTTTGCTTGATTCATTTTAATTTCCATTCCTGTGCTGCACCTGCACATATTCACTTAGGTTGCGTAGGAATCTTGCACAAATATATGGCTCTGCTTCTTCTTCTGATTGATATTTTAATGTGTTCGCTCATATGGCTTTGGTGTCTTTCCATCCATTCATCTCTCAGTTCTGCTACTGTAACTCAACCAATATCATCACACGTGTTACCATTCATTCTAGTGCTGCTGTTCACAAAAACCTAAACAAAACAGCAGCTAATAATGTTGTTTTTGCTGAATTCCATCCACCAAGTTGTAGTGATGGTCAACCTATTATTGGCACAACAAGCTTCTTCTCTTCAAAATCAAGGCAGAGAGAGAGAGGGTTGTTGCTTGTGCCATTGAATGCCAAAAACTCTGGATTACCAGGAGATGAGGAGGATCCGCGAGCTCTCGAAACAGTGCTCAAACTCTACACTGCCATCAAGAACAAAAATATTCGCGAGTTGTCGGAGATTATAGGAGATGAATGCCAGTGTGTCTGCAACTTTTTCTCAATTTTCCAACCCCTCCGAGGAAAGAAGGTATACATTTTATATATACTGCTTGATTTCAATATTATATATAATATATAACGAACGCTTATGCAGTAAAAGTCATCTTTCTTGATGCATTACGTGTTAAACAAACCATGATTAAACAATGTATTCAATCGTAATCAGCTGCAGTTCTTCTTTTCTTTCTTGCTGTTTTTAATTGGGAACTGTGACTACAACTGTTGCAGCAAGTATTGGATTTTTTCTCATATCTGATCCGAAACTTGGGGAATAACATTGAATTTGTTGTAACACCGACATTGCACGATGGAATGAATGTCGGAATTCAGTGGAGCTTAGGTATTTATATATATCACACAACAACTTCTTTTTTCATTCTTTAAATTAAGATGATAGTATACAAATGGGAAACAACAAGTAGCTAGTTGGATTGATATGCAGAGTGGAAAAAAACGCATGTGCCTCTGGGAAAGGGCTTTAGCTTCCATATTTGTCAAATCTACAAAGGCAAGGTGATGTTAAGGTACTGCTTCAAATTGCATACCCTCTCTCTGAGTCTGAATTATTAGTTTTGGCCCCGCTTTCAATAACATATATACATATATATAATAAACATCTTCTTTTCTTTTAGAAATGTGGAGATGTTCATGGAACCACTCCTCCATATTGAACCCCTTAGACTGGTAAGCAAAGCAAGCAGCTCGCAACTTCTTATTTCCACTTCAGAAATGTGTCCCTTTTTATTGTTTTCTTTGTCTTCTTATGTATCACTTGTGCAGAAACTCATGGGAATTATGACGGCTGTACTGGATAAGATTGGGTTCAATGCAGTGTTCAAGGGCAAGGCAAACAGACTTGTGTTGGCTTTCCTCCTCCTGCTCATCAAGGCCGCCATTCTGATTTTACTGAAACTCATCTTGCATTAAGCCACCATCACCCACCCGAGGCGCAGGTGCTGCAGAGCAGACCTTGGTGGGTTTTGATTTAATGTACTATTTTCATACAAATTAACAATTTGCAATTCCTTCTCCACTCCACCGTGTGATGGTAAAGTCGAAAATTTGATATGAAAAAAGGTGCTCATTCTGCAAGGACTGTTGTATTGCTGGTGAAACCTTTCAAACTTTCAGGCCACCCATACAAAGTCCTGTCTCCATCATCAGTACTCAGTATTATTCAATTTAAAATGTCTGACATATACTTACCATCGACAAAGCCAGAAAGCAAATAAAGCAAGTCGGAGTTAAAAGAGGAGTTTACTGCCATGTAACAATACACAAAAGCTGCAGTCAAAACTAACACTTACTGCCAGCCATCTAAGAAAATGCAAGGGGGTCCTTCCACGATGTACAGAACATTTATCTTCTGTCACAGTTTCTGGGTTAGGAGAAGACAACTAAAAAGAACTAAACCCCGGGCAATGGCATAAACCAAGAAACTTGCCATCAACCCACAGCACATGGCAATTCTACATATAAATAACCACGACATGTAAGACACCTAACCACGTCAATGCACAAAAAAGAAATAAACAAAGAAGAAAAAAAGCTTCTTTCCTATCTTTTCTACCATCAGAAGAGACCAGATGGCAAAGGTCCCCATGCACCTGCAAAAGAATAAACAAACCACTCCGTCACTTGTTTAGGACAGATCAGAGCAGGCCATAGGCAGAAAAACTTTAGCAAAAGATACATCTACAGAGACAGGCAAATAAACTAACATAAATAATTTAAGAAAGAAATGAGATGGAGTAAACATATGGAATTTATACTAACCAGTCAACACTACCAGAAATCACAATTGTTTGAACAAGTGATAGTGATCTAACATCTCGTGCAACCCCACTGCAGAAATGCTTTCGCATCCAAGAAGCTCGTGGAGCTTTGCGTCACATAATATCACTGTAGAATTTAAAGGATCCTGTGGAAATGCAAGAACAGCACCATCATAAGTCTTTGTTCCAAATGCACTATGATGGGAAAAAAAGGTCGAAACCAAGTGAAGTAGCTCTTAAGCCAATATAAAGGTAAGGACAAATACAGCATTCGCTAGAAGAAATCAATCCAACTTGTGACTGACGATGGAATAATGGACGAAAGTACGATGTCCCCAATAAAATAATCATCTTAGATCTACGAGACGGAGAAGGTACAAAATTGTGCAGCAGGATCCTACCTCCAAACGGTTAGCCTTTACATACTCCCAAACAAGGCTTCTTGCCTCAGATAGGAGCATCTCCCTTCCTCCAAAGCCCAAAAACTTAGCTAGTGCTTCAGATATTCCTACAGTAGGGGAACCAGGTTGTGGTTGTGGTTGAGGTTGAGGTTCAGTACTATCAGTGGTGGACTTGGCCTCTAACTTCAATCGTTTAGCTTGAGTTGACTCCTCTGCATATATGCAGGAGAAATGTTATACATAAAATCAAAGATATCATTACACACTATGTGTAGCAATATGCACAATGTTGACGTACTGTTAGGTCCAAGGGGTATAATATGTTTAGCTAGCAGCTTATTCATCTTGAACATGTCAGTACAGTCTGTCTCAAATACCACACGCAAGGCATCATCACAAATTATCTTTCTCTTATTACTTGGATCTTGGAGGTTGTTCTTCCTTATGTATGCCCAGAGCTGCTTTACAATCTGAAATACGCAAAACAAAAACTTAATGTACACCCTCAAACATGCATTAAGATTTACGCACAAAAACTTAATCCACATCATTGGAAAGTTAGCATAAAAAGAGAATCTGGGTTGATTTGGGAGTAATAACCTCAGTCCTCGGCAAGGCAGGTTCACCAACAACAGCCTGAAGCTCAGGTGAGACACCACAGACTTTGTTAAGACCCCCTGGCCCACCTCTTCTCTTGGTTCCAGAAGCCGGAGCACTGCAAAAAAATTATGACCGACACAAACATGCCAGGTCATTTTATTGCATTATGAATAAAGCACTGAATCATAATAGATTTACTTACAACTACAAAACAAAAAGATAAAGATTTGAGCTTTTCCAACTAGTTAATTCTGAGACAGAGAAAACTACCCTATTTAAAATTTTAAGAAAAGAAGAAGCATTAATATAATGGAACTTTAAAGCAGTAATCCTCCAAATTTATGCAAAAATGTTAAACCCCAACCCAACAGATAAGCTTACTAGTTTAATTAGCAAGACCATGCTAAGCCAGCTCTTTAATACGCAAATTTGATTTTATGCTAAGCTCAAACTTATAGTTTTTCATACATTGAAAAGTCAAGCACTTTTTATAATATAATTAGAGTGAGACTGCAACTGCAAGAGTAAGTAAGTACTAGTTGATTTGTATTTCATGCTTTGGGAGTAAGGACAAACAATAACAGTTTTGACTTTTATATGAAAGACAATACGGTAACAAAAAGGTTAAAACTTTCCCATTACAGTAATATCAGGGTTTAAATGCGAATTTCCATATGTTTCTTTATTTGTTACAAACAATTTTCAAATTTCTCATTCACACAAAGCGATACACGCCGGCAATTTGACCTTATCAGTCTTAGTTTTACCGAAAAAGGGAAACCATAAAAATTTCAAATAGCAAGTACTTGCAATTAAAATATGCAATTTAGCGAAACTTGGTTAGCAGGAAACAGGAAAAGTACAAAACTTTCAAAACGGCCATTAACGAAATATTGCTAATTGGAAACTCTATAAACGTGCACCACTTGCATTTCATAGAAACGCCACCTTTGCAATCTAAAGGAAAGTAAAACCCTAAGAATTCACCATTTCTGATTTGAAATTTTGAAAACAAAATCCAAACCTCTCTTTGGGCGTTTCTGGGGCGACTTTAGTGGCATTCTGAGCCAAGGCCTCGTGCTTCACAGCGGGAGGCTGCAGCTGAGCCTGAGGCCGCAGTTGCTGAGGCGGCGGCGGCTGCTGGAAGCTGTGGGGCTCGGGGGCGCGGTGGTGGGGGTGGAGGGCAAAATGGGGAGGAAATTGTTGGGGGAGGAATTGAGGGTGGTGGTGGTAATGGTGCTGGGGGTTGGTGTGGAGGGCAAAATGGTCTTTCGGAGGTTGGTGTTGGGGTTGCGGTTGAGCGTACGGGCGGAGGAGGAAGCTGATCTGGTCCCGAATGAAGCCAGCCTTGTGGGACAGGTCTAACCCTAGCTTGGCCTCGAGCTGCTGAATGACACCGTTTACGGAGGTGACGTCGTTAGGGCCTGATTGACGGAGAACAGTCTCCACACCTTCCGCTATTTCTTGGTCCGACACCATGCTGGTGCACACACATATATTAACAGAATAAACGGAAACCAAACGCTCTTCACTCTCTCTCTCTCTCAGCCTGCTCTCTCTCTTCTTCTCTCTGTCTCTCTCTTCCTCTCTCTGTCTCTCTCTATCTCTCTCTACTCTTTACCGCTCTCTTTATAACGCTGAAATGACGAAAATATCCCTTCATGTTGATTTTATTATGAAAAAGTCGGTAAAGCCCATTGTTCTATCCACTCTTGAGTTTCAAACTGTTGAGCTCGATCTCCCTGTCCGGTTTTCCAGAAGACGAAAGTACCCTTTTGAATTTCACCCTATCCATCCCATTATGGGTAAAAGATTCGGGGTAAATATGTCACGTGGGAAAGTGGCAGCTGGTTTTCTTTTGTTCCTCTTTTTGTTGCACTTTTCAAATTAAAGATAAAGATAAAGAGAGGTAAACATTGTCTACAGCTACAGAATCAAACTGGTTGATTGAATTACGATAAGGCCCTGAGTCCTGACTAGACCACCTCTGCAACTTTGCGATCTTTTTCTCTGACGAATGAGAGTCTGCTTCGTGGAGAAGGTAAGGGCAAATGTGGTCAACAAAATATGATTTATCGGCTTGACTATAGACCGTTGGATAAGAATTGGTGGGTTTGGTCAACTACTGTTGAATGCGATCGCTTGATCCAAAGGTTGAGAAAGCACTTTCAATTATCTATCAGACTGACCATGTTTCTTTACCTACCACCTACCTCTCTTTATGCGATCACTTGCAATGCACTACAGCTAGTCCAATGATACTTGAGAGATTATATATTTTGTTAATGATTGGCACACAAGTGAAAGGCAGTTTATGCAAAAACAAGATAGAGAGACATGAAGAACGCAATTCAAAACAAGGACTATTGCAAACAACGTAAAAAATAAAGCATAATCATGGTAAGACAATCAACAACAACATTAAATTTGTAAGGGACACTTTCTCCATAGTTGAGTATTGGCTTTCCCGGCTATGCATATAGTGAGCAGAATGAAAATTTTAACAATTTTATGCTTGGTGTGTTGCGGGAATAGAAATAGCTTGATTTGATTCTTAACCAAATTTTACATGGATGATTATGTTTGTTTCAAGACACACACAAAACTTTGAATTGGAGCTCATATAATGAAGCATTCAATTGGTGGATGGAGACGAATAATTCATTTCTTCCTAACAAAATAAAGAGATTGAAAATGACAACATTCTCAACCATGCATGACAAACATGTTTTATAATCATACCTCAACTAATTTTGACTATCTCTTTCATTTCAACATCAAGAGATAGTCAAAATTAGTTGAGATGTTTGCAATGAATTGATATGTGATCTTATTTATAAATAAATAAATAAATAAAAGTGATAAAACGTAAAATGGTCATACGTTAATTCACATCCAAATTAAAGGTTTTGTTGATCTATGAACATTTTGTTTATTTATTGAAGAAAAAATTGAATTTGAAACATCTTTCAATATTGTAAAATAAAAAATTAGTTAGTAAACTTCGATTTTTTTTTAATTTTTTTTTTTAATTTTGGTCATAAGACGAAAGAAAAAAAGGCCTCATCATTATTTTCGACATTAGATTACAAAATAACTACAAAAACACAAACAATATTTGTGGCCGGTTTGGCATTACTGTGTTGTGAGAATAATCGTTGTTAAATTTGATGTAAGAGAAATCAACTGTGAGATAAACCAATATGGTATTTGGTAAACTTTTTGTTAAAAGTGTTATTGGTATTGATTCTCGCATAATCATAAAATGATTCCCGCATAATCATTAAACTCAACTCCTCTTCGAAATTGATTCCTTCATAATTAGAAAATGAAAGCATCTAATTAGTTGATTTCCCTTAGCTTTATCTCACAACAATTTTTAATAATAAGTGAATTTCTCATAGTTTACCAAATGGGCTGAGTTTTCCAAAATTAAAAAAAAAATTCACTTATCACTCCAAATAAGCAATGCCAAATTGGCCCTACTTATGCTGTGAAAATAATCGCTGTCAGATTTGCTGTAAGTGCCAGTTTGACATTTTGGGGTGATAAGTGATTTTTTATAAAAATTTTGGGAAGCCCAGCTCGTTTGGTAAACTATGAGAAAATCATTTATCGTTAAAAATTACTGTGAGAGAAAGCTATAAGGGAAAACAACTAATGAAGTGCTTTTATTTTCTGATTATGCAGGAATCAGTTTCAAAGAGGCGCTAGGGTTAATGATTATACGACAATCATTTTCTGCTTATGCATGAATCAGTATCAACAACACTTTTAACAAAAAGTTTGCCAAATGCCAAACTGCTTTCTCTCACAGCTGATTTCTCTCACAACAAATCTGACAACAATTATTTTCACAGCACAGTAATGCCAAATTGGCCCTAAGAGAAATCAGCTGTGAGATAAAGCAGTTTGACGTTTGGTAAACTTTTTGTTAAAAGTGTTGTTGACATTGATTCCAGCATAATCAAAAAATAATTCCCGCATAATCATTAAACCCAACGCCTCTTCAAAATTGATTCTCGCATAATCAGAAAATAAAAACATCTCATTAGCTATTTTCCTTCATAACAGTAATTTTTTAAAATAAATAATTTTCTCATAGTTTACCTAACGGGTTGGGCTTCCCAATTTTTTTGAAAAATCACTTCTCATAGTCTGTACAAAGAAAAGAACTAAACGCATCGTTTGATTCTAAGGTTCCCAACGTTTAATACAAGGGAAAGACTAGGTGTGGGAAATGCGAAGATGACGCTGGTTCTTAACCTAATCCCGCCATCCCAAATCCTACTTCACTCGTCGTCGTCTCGTTCACTGCCAACTACTAGTTCCCGTCAAAATGAAACAACCCAAGATTGGACTGCTCTGCTGTTCAAGCTCAAATGCCGCGGCAGGTTCTCTTGCCTTTTCTCAGATAATCGCAAAGAGGTCCTAAAATTCGTAATTTGAACTCAGTTTCTCTTCTTTTGTTGCGTGCTTTTCCTATTTTATGTTATGCTGCGAAATGAAAATTTTCATGTTTCAAATTTGTCAAGAGATGAAAAATAACCCAAGTTCCTCGTTTGGCAGCTCAATATGTGGGTATATGTATATTGAGATAAATTGAGCAATTAGGTTTAACTGGGCCTCTAGTGTTGGCAGGCAATAAATTCTTTGTCTCTACTTCGCCTTGTGCTGTTTGGAGATTTGCATAATCAGTTAAGTAGGGTGTGGAATGCTTCATTTGAAGTTCGAATTTATCAAAAAATTGTTCATTCTTTAAATGCTTCAGGAAAGTGAGTTTTAGGAGCTTCACACATTCACCCATTGTTTTGAATTTTGCATTACAGTAGAGTATTTGTAGTTTGAGCGTTCAATGTGTTGGAGAATTTACTTCTTACAAGTATAAAATGTGGATTATTTGCTTTGTAAATAAGAATACAGATGAATATTAGGCAGTTGATCCGTCTAGAAGAATACTTGGGCACATGCCGGTTTACTGTTGGATTCTCTTTCTCTTTCTCTTTCGTAATTTGCTGAGCATTTTTTTCCTTCATGGAGTTAAAAGCTGCACACAGAAGGTAGTTCTACTAAGCTTGCACAAAAGCCTTATCCAAACAATTGGAGCAAACAACTTTGGTTTTGCCTGATAATACCTTTACGGTTCACTAAAGGTTAAGGATATGATAGTAGTATAGTTGTCATTGAACATAATCAGTCGTTCTAGGTATAGGACCAATATAAGGTCTAACTTGACACGTGCACATCAGCATTAGGACAGATACCAATATATATCAGATATAGTTATTGAGCATAGGAGTTCGTTTGGTCTCTTGGCCCCTCATTTCATCTGGTTTTATTGAATGCAGAATGCCATGATATGGTTTAAATGCTGGTTTCTTTTGCGCAGATGAATTTAACTTTGCCATTTCTATTGTTCTACTAGGATCAAGCCAGGAAAGCATTAGAAGGTGCACTTGGTGGGAAAAAAAGTGAATTTGAGAAATGGGACAAAGAAATTAAGAGAAGAGAGGAGGTGGGTGGAGGCGGTAGTGCTGGTGGAGGGGGATGGTTTGGGTGGCGTGGATGGTTTGGATGGTCGAATGGTGACCATTTCTGGCGAGAAGCACAACAAGCAAGTCTTGCTGTGTTGGGTATTATCCTGATGGTAAGCATTTCCTTGTTTCTTTTCTAAATTCAGCTGTATACCATCATGTTGTAAATATATACTCTCTCTCTCTCTCTCTCTCTCTCTCTCTCTCTCATAATCTTATTCTTTATTTTTTAGTATCTCATAATTGCAAAGGGAGAACTGATGCTTGCTATCATCTTCAATCCGTTACTGTATGCCTTGCGAGGGACAAGAAATGTGTTCGCTTTCATAACTTCTAAAATCTTAAGGAAGACAGGACCAGATGGTCAGGTTGTTTTTGATAATATCTCGAAGAATGAAGCCTACAGTAGTGTCTCTGCTAAAGAAAGTGTTCTGAGAAAATGGGGAAGTGGGTGATAATTTTGTTTCAGGTTTGAGATCACTCGCAACATGCATTGAGAATTTGGCCACAATTTTTGTATCCTATGTTTTTTGTATCTGAAGTCCAGGATGTGTTTGAATTGCCTCAATGCCCAACCTATTATCAACCTAGGATTTTTGTATGCTAGCTTTACAATCCCTAGCATTCTCAATGGAACTTTTGACTGCACATAAATTATTATTTGATTGAGGGAGTTTCAACCTCGTATGTAGACAGTATAATGAATCAGTCCATTTTACTTTTCGATGATATTTGGAGATGCATAGGTTGGTTTTTATTATGAACACATAATCAAACTCCCCTTGTAATACAGACAAAAATTGTCCATATCTTTGTGTATTTGTTAGCATTGTCAACATTTTTTAACCTATTGACCGCAGTCTTTTCTCCTTTATTATTATTTTTCTTAGTAAGAAAAAAAAGAAAAAAGAAAATGGGCATGGTAAATTTGCAGCCACCAGATTTTAATGTTCTGTCCAGATTTAGGCACAGAAGTTTGGATAATCTAGGATGCAGGAAATTTTGGCCCTAGAGTAGTTTTGAACCGTTGATTTCTGAACGGTAATGAACAACTTGTGCATTCAAATTTTGAATCACATGAAATTCCAGAAATGTCGTGGTCTCCGCCATGAATGTTGATAATGAGAGCTGAAATTAAGCCATCGTCGTCACGTCAATAGCGTATGAGATAGTTGTATGCATCAAAACTTTTAAAGGTTCTGGGCTTGAACTGACCATCACCATGCGTAAATTGTGTTAGTCTGGTTGGCTGATTTCACAATCATCTGAGCTGTATTTCCTACTATGAACAACCTAGCAACACTTAATGTTTGACAGCAGACAGCCACAACTGTTATGACACTAACAGCAATGAAGTGGGGGAATTCGACCTTAGGACTTTTTTGGTATTAAGAAGAGAAGTACTATTGGATTAAAAGCTAGTTGGTTAATATAGGATGGAGAATTCGAACTTGAGATTTTTTCCGGTATTAGGAAGAGAAGTACGGCTAGATAAAGAGCTAGTTGATCAATAGAGATATTACAAGGGTGTTGATAATTGGCCTAATATAAACCATCGACCAAAACTTCTATAATAGGGTGCAATAATAATGCTATCATTGCTGGACTCCTCGACATTGGATTGTTTAATTATTTTTGGTGGAGAAATAATATCGTACCAAAGAAATTAGAATGCATCATCAAAGCTTCACCACCAACCAAATTAATTGAAAATACATGTCATGCAGACATGTTATGTTATCTGGAAATGCTCTGCCTTTGAATTTTATATAGCATTGTGCTTGTGGAGCTCTATAGTGGAAACGTTCAGATACTAAAATAAGACTCATAAACCCTTCACCTTTTATGTTTATTTTTCTTCTTCTTCATGTTTTACCAGAAGCTACAATTTTGGGAAGGCGTGAGCAGAGAGTAGAGCATGGTTAGTTAAAAGAATAAAAACCCATAAGAAGGGGTCAAAGTACAGCTTTGGTCCACCCAATCTTTAGGCTAGGCTGTCTCATCTGATGTGTTTGTTTCTGAGTTTTCAAACTAAATTGAAAGAAAAGCCCTCCTCGAATCTTGGTCTTCGTGGAACCTAGTGCAGCAAGAGTGACCCTCACGATCTCGCCACCCGTTTCTCTCTCTCTTCTTTTTTCTTCCATGGAAAAGACTCAATTTCGGATCACCACACGACCTTTTCCTCTCTGCTTGAACTCTGCCTAAACAGTCTTTTTCTTGCTGCAAGTTTTATCCTTGTTGGGTTTCCTTAGTTTTCTGTTTAGCTTTCTTTCTGGGTTTCTTTGACCCAATTAGTCCTTCTTTCCTTCCTTTCTTGTTATACTCAAATTCCCTCATTTTTTATTGGGCTCTCTCATTTTTTGTTGTTTTCTCACAGAGATTCTTCTTCCAAGTGGGTCTTTGCCGTGTTCTTTTGCTTTTTGCCATTTTGTTCTGGTTTTTACTTGCATTTATACTTGGCCATTGGGGCTACATTCTCTGTGCCCTTTGATCTTTCTTTTTTGTTGGGTTGATGGGCTGTTGATGTCTTTGGCTGTTGGAGAGATTTCAAGTTCCAAAAACATGGGTTTGGATGATGAGACTGGCGCTGAAGTTTCAGAAGCAAAGACAGCTAAAACGGCTACTGACGTGGATCAATCATCCACAGGGTTGGTTAGAGAACCGAGTGAGAGTTCCATGTACGTAACTGAGGATGATGATGACGATGATGAAGTAAAGAAAATTGAGTTGGGTCCTCAGTGCACTCTCAAAGAACACATTGAGAAGGATAAGGTTTGATTTTCAGTTCTTCTTTCTTTTCATAATTTGTTCTCCTTTGTCCCTCTCTTTCTAACGGCCTTCTAGTTTTATATCTGTGTAATGTTGTTTGTTTTGGTGATCATTTGAGGTTTTAGGACGATGAGAGCTTAAGGAGGTGGAAGGAACAGCTTCTTGGGAGTGTGGATGTTAATTCTGTTGGAGGTAAGCATTGTAACGAGTCAATAGCTTTTGCTTTGAAGTTCGTTTTATCAATGAAAAAATGGAGCAGAAAAAATGTTTATACTTTGAATTTTCCCCTTCATTTCACTGCTGAGGTTCAAAACTTTAGTTCTGTCACTTGCAGAAGGCATGCGAAAGTACTTTCTATCAACTAAAATCCTATTCTCTCTTGCAATATATATATATATATATATATATATATATATTTATTTATTTATTTATCTTGTCACTTGGTAAGAGTTCTATTGCGAATCAGAGGTCAAACTTGTTCTATGCTCTGAAAAGCTTTTGTTTTTGGTAAATTTGGCCCTCATGCCTCATCTTATTGTCATAAGTCTTGTCATACCAGAAACCGCATGCAGTTTCTCCTAACTAAAGTTGAATCTTTGGAATTTAGAAGCGATTTTGTTTGCATGCTTCTACTTTATATCTTAGCAGTTTATTGGTGTATCTTCAACATTCAGTACAATAGATATTTGTACTGTTTCATTTCTCCCTGAGTGTTCCTTGTTTCTCTGTGTTTCTGTAGAAACTCTAGAACCAGATGTTAAGATCCTGAGCCTTGCAATTAAATCCCCTGATAGATCTGACATAGTTCTTCCTATTCCTGAGAATGGAAATCCCAAGGGCTTGTGGTTTACTTTGAAAGAAGGTAGCCGTTACAGCCTTGAGTTCACTTTCCAGGTCAGCAATAACATTGTTTCAGGTCTCAAATACACTAACGCAGTCTGGAAAACTGCTGTAAAAGGTACTCTCTCTCTATCTCTCTCTCATTCAAATTATGTAACAGGATAGATTAGCCTTATAATGAAGCTGGGATCGGATGTTTTCCTTCTTACATACGGATCCTTTTTGCAGTTGATAGCACAAAAGAGATGCTCGGAACCTTTAGCCCACAGTCAGAGCCTTACACACATGTGTTGCCTGAGGACACAACCCCATCTGGCATATTTGCAAGGGGATCTTATTCAGCTAGAAGCAAGGTAAGTTAAATCAGTGCTTGATGTTAATTTCCACTCAGACTAGACCACACAATTCGAGAGAAAGCGGTATATGCCCATAAACTGATAGATTTGTTACATACACAACCATCATGCATCTGTTCATAAATTTTTCGTTCTGTTGATATTAATGTTATTACCTGAGTTATCTACTAATTGCATCCCATGAATGATTGTGTGCATGATGAACTTCAGATTTCAAATTCAACCTCAGATTTCAAACTAATTTTCTAATAAATAAATAGCTTCACCTTCAAGTTTTGGATTTAGTCTCATCTTGTGATTTCCCTTTTCTTTGTGGTCCAGTTTGTTGATGATGACAACAAGTGCTACTTGGAGATCAATTACACCTTTGACATTCGGAAGGACTGGCAATCGGAGTAAAACAACTGCAGTTTTGTTGTGTTTGTAGTAACAGTCCATTGTTTTTCAAGCTGAGATCTGCTTCATTGTGAACATGTCAAAAAAATTCGAATGCCTTGTTTATGTTTCAAACTTCTTAAACAATGAGGAGAAGGAGAGGATCCTTTGAAAAAGAGAGGGGAAGGGGGGAAAAGTAGAAGGGAATGGTTAATTCTTTTGGTAGGTATTTGATTAATAAATTGAGCTTTTCTTTCTCTGGGATTATTGTTTATGTGATGTTAATTGAAGCTTGCTCTTACTCAAGTGGCTTGACCATTTTAATTATTCCTGTGGGGCAAAGGACACCTTTTAAGTTGAAAAGCAGTGCAGGGTTTCTTTCTTACAGCCCTTTCCATGTTAATTTTGACCCCTTTTTTTCTTTTCTTTGGTCGCTTCTCCTCGTTGCTCCCTCTCTCACAACCCCCTCATTATAGCATTTCCGTGTTCCATCATATGGCCTTTTCAAGACGAGCTACTTAAAAATCATCTTGGCCAGACACAATAAAAGAACATTATTCAGCCGAAAAAATAAAATAAAATTCCAAGATCAATATTAGAGCAAAGGCAAAGATAAGCAAATGGATCTTGAAGTGGACTTTTCTAGTGAAAAAAATAAGCGAACTACTGTAATCTTTCTTCATTCTTTCACAATTTTTTATGCACAATATTACCCAACTTTAAATATGTTACCGAAATAATACTCACTCTAGTCTTTGATCCCTTGATGGTAATTCATTTAGCAAGTCATATGCTTTTATTTTATTTTCAAGAAATTATAAAATTGGTAAATGTTTTAGCAAATAAATAAAAAAAATAAAAAAATAAAATAAATGGGCCTAGGTATTTGTATTTTGGGCCTAATAAGTATGAGGCCGAATTTAAGGTAAGACGGTTGTGCAAGGCCCAATCTGTAAGCCTTCCTTTCTTGGTCTCATCTCCTATGACTCTCTCTCTTCCAGTTTTGCTTCGAAGGATCGAAAGGCGCTCTGTTACTTCTCCAAACTGCAAAACACCACACTGATCCAGGTAATTCTACCTCCTTCACGGAGCTAATTTTATATGCATTTTCAAATCACGAGCTATTTCCAAGATAGCTTCAAATTATTTCGGACGCAAAAACGAAGCAAAATCCTAACACACATAACATTACACTGTTTTTTTCTTTCACTTTCCCGCATTTTCTCGGTAACCAAACGGAGCATTATGCTATTTCCTTGCTCTTAAAACTGGGAATATAATAATAAAGTTTTCAGTCAACTATTTTCTTGCGTTTGTTATATTTTACAGGTTTCTACTCTAGAACTGTTTTCTCTCTTTCTATTGACGGCTGAGTTATATGCTTCTAGGGTTTCCGAGATCCTTCCCTAATTTGAGAATCGTTTGAAGAATTGAGTGACGCTCAGTTGGTGTAAGCTCCGGTATTATTGTAGAAACAGTGAGATTTGAGCTGGGTCAAGAGAATGAACTGTAAGATGGAACATGAAGATGATGTTAGAGTGAACGCGGAAGGGTTTGAATCTGACCCAAAGAGGCAAAAACGGAATGGGCATTCATCTCCTTCCTCTTCACCACCTCCACCTGCCTCTGAAGGCTCCCTTCTTCCTGGTTTTAATTACGGCGATGAGGATGACGAGGACAACCAGAGAAGGCCACCTGTTGATGGCTACAGAGGGGATGGTGGTGATAATCAAAGGGATATAAAAAGTGGGGTTGAAGTTGAAGAAGAAGAAGAAGAAGATGATGATGATGATGATGATCTTGAACAAGGACTTTACAGGCGGAGCCGTGAAATTGAGGTTAGGAGGGATTGTCCATATCTTGACGCTGTTAATCGCCAGGTATATTACTATTCTAAGTTGTTACAATATGGCATTCCAGCTTGTCTGTATATTATGCTTACAAAAGCATCCACTGTATTGATACTGATTGCTTGATTTTGCTTTCTCCAGGTTTTGGATTTTGATTTTGAGAAGTTTTGTTCTCTGTCTCTGTCAAATTTGAATGTGTATGCATGTTTAGTTTGTGGGAAGTATTACCAAGGAAGAGGGAAGAAGTCCCATGCATATACGCATAGCCTTGAAGCTGGACACCATGTTTATATCAATCTTCGAACAGAGAAAGTATATTGCCTTCCGGATGGATATGAAATCAGTGACCCGTCATTGGATGACATTAGACATGTCCTGAACCCAAGGTTTGATTTATATTGTTTATATTTCTAGTTTTCCTTGGGTATCCTTTTAAGGATTTGAATTCATTTGGTTCTTTATATGCAGGTTTACTGAGGAACAAGTTGAGCAGATTGACAAAAACAAGCAATGGTCTAGGGCACTTGATGGTTCTGATTACCTTCCTGGAATGGTACTGATTTTTGTTCTTACTTGCACAAGATTCCATATATGCTTCTATTGCTGCTGTTGTCAATTCATATGAGTGCTATTTTGAATCTGTTACGTGGCTGGCCAACAATTAGACTTATGATAGAGTTGTTTCACAGTTTTGATAGACTTGTGTGGGAGTATACCAGTAAGCATGATTTCAGCACTTAGGTAATATGGTTTTTGGTTTACTGCAGTATTCTCACGTCTTTGTAATTCTCTATGTTTTTTTAGATTCTTTCTCATCTGTAAGGTTAGACAAGCCTATGTTGAACCACATTTACTGTCTTTTCATGTGTTCGAGGGAGATATATTTTGTGATTGATCTCTCTGATGGATACACTTCCATAACAACTTACGTCTTAACAATTTCTAGCAAGGTGTTAATTTTGGGTCCTAATTATTGTTACCTGTGTTTTCTTAATTTTCAAAAAACAGGTGGGGCTCAATAACATTAAGGAGACTGATTTTGTCAATGTCACAATTCAATCTTTAATGAGAGTCACTCCACTAAGAAACTTCTTCCTCATTCCTAAGAATTATCAACATTGCAAGTCTCCGCTTGTTCATCGATTTGGGGAGCTCACGAGAAAGATATGGCATGCACGGAACTTCAAAGGACAGGTTTGACCTTGTTGACTCCATATTTTGGTCTCTAGGTTTTGTTGTTAAGAATAGTTCACATGTGTCAAATCTTTAATGTCTACAGGTGAGCCCACATGAGTTCCTGCAGGCAGTTATGAAAGCCAGTAAGAAACGGTTTCGAATAGGAGCGCAATCTGACCCAGTTGAATTCATGTCATGGCTGCTTAATACACTGCATGCAGACCTTAGAACTTCGAAGAAAGATAGCAGCATCATCTATGAGTGCTTTCAGGTTTTCTTTCTTATTCTTTATCTACTTTCTTCGTTGTATTGCTGTTGCTGCAACTTAACTTGCAGTATTTTTTAGACTAAATATAATGTTCTGTGCTGATAGGGGGAACTGGAGGTTGTGAAGGAGATTCCTAAGAAAGGTATTGAGAAGAAAGAAAATGGTGATGACCAGAATACAGATGTTGTGACTGAAAATAATGGCATTGTCAAGGAAAGGTACAAAATGCCTTTCTTAATGCTTGGATTGGATTTGCCCCCACCACCTCTTTTCAAAGATGTTATGGAAAAAAATATCATACCCCAGGTACATATGTCTAATTAGTGAGTTGGAAGTTCATTCTTTAATTGCCTTTTTTTTTATTGGTTTTAATGTCTTTCTCATAATTTCCATGTCTATGTTTCTGAATAAAAACATGTTGGAATTTGCTTCAATTACATACATTGCCTCTATGTTCGCAGCTTGTGGACTAGGTAACTAGATTGCTTTGGGGAGTCTATGTAATTATATATCTTAGGTAGTGACAAATGTGTAGACTGTTAAGATGGATATATTCCTTATTTTTATTAGTCTGTATGGAGGCTAGTTGATTTTTTATTATCTAAATATGGGGGGTTCAGTCTGTCTTTGTGCTTCTATTCTATAATGTATATAGTTACTCAAGGTCTAATTGCAAATTAGAAACACAGCAACTGTTCTTTGTTCCAAGCATTTTGGTTCTCCATTTTTCTTGAATATTAAACTGAGCCCTGAATGATGCAAAAGCATGCCCTTTACTTTATGCATGTCTCATCAGTCTTGCATTGTGCGTTGTTTAAATGTTTATAGCACACCTATGCTATCACTACACCTTATTCCAGAAATAGTATGTGGGGAAGAGAGCATTGATGATGAGAATTTTTTGAGTTTTATTTTAAAAATGTTTTTATATTATTTTTTAAAGCTTGTGCGTTATGGTTTAGGTTCCACTGTTCAATATTTTGAAGAAATTTGATGGGGACACTGTGACTGAAGTGGTCCGACCTCGCATAGCAAGGATGAGGTATCGAGTCACCCGATTACCGCAGTATCTTATTCTCCACATGCAGCGATTTACCAAGAACAACTTCTTTGTGGAAAAGAATCCGACTTTAGGTGAGATTATATGTTTCTGGAATTATTTTTATTTGAATAATCATTTAAGGCCTATAGTGTGCCATGGATCCTTGCCTGATCAACTGCAACCTTTTGCCAACTGATGTAATTCCTATTGCAGTCAACTTTCCTGTGAAGAACCTTGAATTGAAAGACTACATCCCCTTGTCAACCCCCAAAGAGAATGAGAGATTGCGTTCAAAGTATGATTTGATCGCCAACATTGTTCATGATGGCAAACCTGGTGAAGGTTCATACAGGGTATTTGTACAGAGAAAGTCCGAAGAATTATGGTGAGTCTATTCCATACTTATTGGTATAAATGTAAACTAAGAGAAAATGGAACTGTATGTATGGGCTAACAAAATGTTTTCAGGTATGAGATGCAGGATCTTCATGTTTCAGAAACTCTTCCCCAGATGGTTGCCCTTTCTGAGACTTATATGCAGATATATGAGCAGCAGCAGTAAACTTGGGATAGTTTCAAGTGCCATGGTTAACGGCTTAGGTGGTTTTTAAGCCTATTATGGGAGTCGAGTGGTTTCATACACAAGGAAAACAAGAGAGGGGAAACATTTTGAGGTGGCATTTGCCTGAGTTTATGAGTTTTATGGTTCCATGGATTCTGTAAGTTGTTAGTTTTGACCAAATTTTGACAGTGAAGTAATTGATATTATATGTTTACCCAAAGAAAAAACCATCGGTACTGTAGAGTAGGCAGATGTAAATTGCTGAAGGAATGTAGCAAACTGTTTGATAATGATCTCTGTTCTAAATGTCCAACCTATGATTTTTTTTTAATTTTTTTTTCTTTCGGTACTATGATTGGGTTGATTATTCATTCATATAGCTTTTATATGATTGCCATAAAATTCAATTGCTTTAGTCATGTGCTGTCTGCTGACAGTTTGCTGAGGGCTGACATTAACATTAGATTATTAATTAAACAAACATAATTTAATAATTGCAAGACTTATTAGGACACATACGCTTGGTTTGATTTAGCTCCCCATTTGACCTGGTTAATTCAGTCAGTCCAAGTTCCAACCATGGGTGCCTGCCAGCGAAGTTACCGCGTTCTTTTAGAACTTCCAGGGAGGATAATTTTGAACCTTGAATTTTTCCCTATTAGAATAATTAAGGCCTACTTCCATCACTTTAATCCTTGATGTAATTCAATGATGCATTGTTGTCGCTATTAGTGGCGCCATCATGTTCTTTTCTGATAACTTTTTTTTTTGAAACACCTTTCTGACAACTTGAAACCAACTTGCATCAAAAGAAGAAACTAATTAAATTAAAAAGTAACGACTACTTTGATTAACTTAACTTCATTGATTGAATAGTTCTCTATCATGTTTTTGCATGTTCATTTAAAAAAGTGTTAAAATTGTATGTAATGTAACTGTAAAATAATGTCTACAGCTACAACCAAGTCTTCTGCTACGACCAGTTGCTTCTTCTTCTTGTGTTCATGGCTCTAGAAGTCTAGATGCAAAAGCACGACCGACCTTCTTGAAAAACGCGCCAACAGCCGCGTACTCCCCAAGAGCCCTCACGTCAGCATTACACCGCAGCAGCGGAGGAAAGAAGAGCCAAAACACGGTGCCCGTCACGAACGCAACGGTCAAAGGCCCAGACACCAACCTCGGCACCTGAAACTTGTTCCGTTTAGCAATCGCCTTCTTGACGGCGATCTCAACCACCAAACACAGCCCGTGGAGGAGGAAGAACCACGAGATCTCCCACGTGGGCGGCAGCCGCCCCAGGTAGTAGAATATGAGCTCGTGCATAATCGCCGACACTATGAAGGTCCCCATCACGGCCGGGAGCGGGGCCCACCTGCGCCCCACCACCCGTGTCGAAAGCGCGACGACGGGTTCGTACACGGTGGGGCGCAGGATGCTGGTGACCATAATGTTCCATCGTCTGCCCCAGAAGTCTTGGAGGGAGGAGGAGAGGTAGGGCTCGTTGAATTGGGGCTCGAGCTCAAGTCCCAGAAAGGCTCGAGCCAGCGCGGCAGCCATGAGGAGGATGATTTCTAGGGCAAAATATATGTGGAAGCAATACATGGCCCATATCAGGTTTGGATGGAGGTGCTCTTTGTAGTCATATACCTTTATCAACAGAGCCAAGAGCAGGCCTTTGAGTGCGTAGTTGAACGGGGATTTCGGAGCTGGGTTTTGTTTTGTTGTTGCATGCCCATTTGTGTTTGAGTTGTGGCCATTTTGATGATTTGAGGTTTGGAATTGGGGTGTTTTTGGAGGTGGGTTTTGTTGGATCTTGATGGGTAAACAAGCGACGGCTACAAAACGGGGAAGAGAGATTGAAGGGTCGGAGCACAGAGGGCCTTTCCCAAAGGCGAAGAGCAAGAGCTTGAAGTTGGCAAGCCAAGAAATGAAGAAAGCAGTGGTGCCTCCGAGATGGATGGTGGAGAGGTGAAGAGGAAGGTCTAGGAAGAGGGCTACAACTGGAATTATGAGCAAGAGTCTTGGAAAACCTTTTGGTACAGACTTACCAAATGCATAGCAGTAGAAGAGAGATAAGAAGACCGAGAGCCATACCTTAATGAAGTTTCCAATCTCACCCTCCATTTCCATTTATGCCAAAACGAAACGATCTCTTAATATTTCTCCAAAATGCTATTTTGGATCTTATTGAGGTTGGAACTTTTTTGATTGACTTGGGTTGGGTTGGGTTGGGTTGTGTTGTGTAAGATGGCCATGGAACATGGAATGGGTGGTGGTTGTTGCCACATGACCAAATAGATATTGTCTGGCTATTTCATGAAGGGCCGGCGGAGTTTATTCAGTCAGGACATCACGTCACGGAATGAAGAATTTGACATAAAATGAAACAAAAAACAAAAAACAAACGGCAGAGGCAGAAAAGCGGAAGGAAAATAATACCAAATTCATCAACCAAGATGGAAAGAAAGAAAGAAAGAAAGAAAGAAACCCAATGCGAAGACTAGGATTTCGGTGCATCCAACCCAATCCATCAGCCAAAAACGACTACGAATCAATACTATATTTTGGCCAATTAGCTGAAGTTGTTTGACTTAATGCAATAATCTATGAATGGTACCCATGTGACCACTTGTCCTTTTTTATTCTTGTTTTCAGCTTAATTAATTAGTATTTCAATTGGGTGGTTATGCTTATGATTTTCATTGATTAAACTATTGGAAGTGGAACGAACACAGCGAGCGACTGCGTGGCTCAATCGGTGAGAGAGATACTCATTTTTGGACGGTTGTTATGTCTTTGGAATTTGGTAGATAGGAAAGGAAAGAATTAACAGGATCTGTGAGTAGCTAGCAAGTAGAAATTGTTTTTGTTTGTGTACCAGAAACATGTGAAGCACCCAAGTTATTATATTTCTGAAGTAAATCTAAATCAAGAGGTGGAAATTTGGACCGCCTTCCAACTTTGCACCCAGTTATATATATACCTGGGTGTATGTATGTAGGACTGTTGGGTCACATTTGACCAACTCCAAGATCCCCTTTTGTTTGTGTCAACTATGATGAATGAATGAGACATCGGCTTGCTTCAAACTTCAAAGGTTGTACAGTGAATGAATGAGAGCTCTTTTGTCCAATAATTGTTTCCTTCAGGTACTTTTGTCCTCTATTAATTCTTTATCCAACCGATTATGTCTTTCTTATATATATTTATAAGTACATCGATCTCAAACTCAAAACCTCTCCGAAATATCTCTCACCACAAACACAATTAAGAAATCAAATTTAAGCAAGCAAAGAAAAATGGAAGGAGAAATACCCAACTTCATCATGGTATGGATCTTAGCTGGGGCTTCACTGTCCTACTGTCACACCATAGGTAAGCTCACTTCTCCTGGTTTAACCAGGCTCCTTGCCATACTTCCAGTCATATCTTTCTTCTTCTTCCTTCCTCTCAATCTCACCTCCATTTTCCTTGGAGGCCCTTCCTCTTTCTTTCTTGCCTGGCTTGCCAACTTCAAGCTCCTTCTCTTTGCCTATGGCAAAGGCCCTCTCTCCACCACCCCACCCATCTCCATCTCCCATTTCATCCCCTTGGCTTGCCTTCCAATCAAATTCCGAGAAGTTGAGAACAAAATAAAATCAGGGTCTTCAACGTCTGCCCCAAAAGGCCAGAAATCTCCTCTTAACTATGCGATCAAAGCTTTGATCCTTGCCACATCTCTACACGTTTTCCACAACAAACAATTTATCCACCCAAAAATCATACTCTTCCTCTACTCAATCTACATGTACACTGGCCTTGAACTTGTCATGGCATTAGTTGCTTCCTTGGCTCAAGCCTTCCTCGGTGTCGATTTCGAGCCACAGTTCGACGAGCCTTACCTGGCCACGTCACTCCAGGACTTCTGGGGACGAAGGTGGAACATCATGGTCAGTAGAATCCTGCACCCTACCGTATACGACCCCGTCCGGAGCATCTCCAGACGCGTGATCGGGAACAGGTGGGCCCCGCTGCCAGCTGTGCTCGCTACCTTTTTCGTGTCGGCGGTGATGCATGAGCTGATCTTCTATTACATTGGACGAACGAAGCCCACGTGGGAGCTCACGTGCTTCTTTCTACTCCACGGGGTGTGTTTGGCCGTTGAGATTATGCTCAAGCAGGCGTTCGTGGGTAAATGGAGGTTGCCTGCGGCCGTGTCAGGGCCGTTAGCAATGACGTTTGTGGCGGTGACGGGGCTGTGGCTGTTTTTGCCGTCTCTGTTGGTGCGGTGTGAAGCGGACGTGATGGCATACAGAGAGTATCTGGCTTTCACGGAGTTTATGAAAAATGTTAGCAACTTTGTTAAAGCCAATTCTCTCTTAAATCAGTAGAGTATTGCACTTTCATTATTGTAGGGGATTAAGTAGTATAACACTGAGCAATAAACCCAGTCTTATTAAATGAAAAAAGATCCAAATTGCAAATTAAACTTTACGTTATTTGTGTTGTGTGCATCATGTAGATCGAAATAACGACTGAAACTCTAACTCATTAAGCACTAACCCGTGGAAAAATTAACTCTGATACACAAAGATCTTCTACCTTCTGCAAGCTCTAGATCACCAATTCTCAATGGGGCTCGAGTACTGTTTTGGTGCGTATGCTTGCGAAGGCAGGGACATCTGTATTAATACTGTTAGCTGGTGAAAATTTGATTGGATTCTCCCATTAGAAACCCAATTAGAATATAACTTGTACACCTAGTATCTATACACTTATATATGTCAATATTAATAGGATTAGGATTCCTAAACTCATTAATTTCGGATTCTTTATTCACATCGATATGAGTTTACTGGACAAATTTGTATTAATCTCTATGTGTGCAAACATAAGTTCAAGATTGATTCAATGACTGTGATGACCTTTACAAGCTTACACATCAATGAAAGCATTTTCTTCCCGTGGCTACTTTTGCATGGTCGACCACAACATTTAATTTGAAGCTTTATGAAAAGGGCAAGGCGCGCGCCGCGAACCTTATTGTTGTCCAAATCAAATGGTCTTTATAAATTGTCTCTGCTTTTGCATTTTTTGTCATGATCGAATGATGCTGGTATTAGTAATTCACGTGTTAGACTCTGCTGGACTAGTATGCAATTCAGCAATTGCTTCCAACACCGCGCATGCATAACAAGTTAACCCATATGCCATGCAACACATTTATAGAAACAACTATTGCTATTGGATTTGGAGTAGAAGTTGCCAAAATCAATTTAATTGTTTGTTTTGGTGACACCAAAGAGTCGTAAAAGGAAAAGACACTCTAATAATAACCACACCAAACAAGAAAACAAAACAAAATTAACCTTTTGCCGGGAAAACATCAACACTACTTCCCACACAACTAGTTCACACAAGACCAGCACTTTTGCCGGGACAACATCAACACTAGTTCCGTCCTCCTTTGATTAGCATAAAAATAGGGTATTTCCTAACCAATAATGGCAAGTATTTCCTAACTAATAATGGCAAGTATTTCCTAACTAATAATGGCAAGCATTTGTCGCAAGGGGCAGGTATTAATGGTCCATGTGTTATGAGGTCGAATGCAATTCCATTAATCTTGGGTAACTACCATAACTAAACCCATTTTGATCCCACCGCTCTAAATTATGAGCCCACATACCATAAAAGTAGGGTATTTAAGTGACGTGATCGGCTAATATGATTAATGTTGTGTGTCTAAATAACATCACTATGCAAACATGATAGAGAACTATTCAATCGATGGGCCACATTCTCAAGTTAATCAAAGTAGTCGTTACTTTTTATTTTAATTATTTTCTTCTTTTGATGCAAGTTGGTTTCAATGTTCTCAGAAAAGGCACTAATAGCAACAACAATGCATCATTGAATTATACCAAGGATTAAAGTGATGGAAGTAGCCCTTAATTATTCAAAGTTCAAAATTCTCCTCCCCGGAAGTTCTAAGAAAACGTGGTGCATGCCTTGACTGGCAGGCACCCATGGTTGGAACTTGGACTGACTAATTAACTAGGTCAATTGGGAAGCTAATCAAACGAATTGTTTCCTTAAAGTATTTTTGTCCTGCATTAATTCTTTATCCAACCGATTATCTGTCTTTCTTTTTTGCTTCCAAAATGAATAAAACATTTTGTCATCATCATTAACAATGGGTGTTAATATAATTGGGTTTTAGCAATTAATCACCGATTCATACAAATCTACCAAAATAGGGACACCCTGCGCCTCCCCCCCCCCTTTTTTTCTCTCTCTCTCTCTCTCTCTCTCTCTATAAGTACATCGATCTCAAACACAAAACCTCTCACAAATATCTCTCACCACCACAAACACAATTAAGAAATCAAATTTAAGCAAGCAAAGAAAAATGGAAGGAGAAATACCCAACTTCATCATGGTATGGATCTTAGCTGTGGCTTCACTGTCCTACTGTCACACCATAGGGAAGCTCACTTCTCCCGGTTTAACCAGGCTCCTTGCCATACTTCCAGTCATATTTTTCTTCTTCTTCCTTCCTCTCAATCTCACCACCATTTTCCTTGGAGGCCCTTCCTCTTTCTTTCTTGCTTGGCTTGCCAACTTCAAGCTCCTACTCTTTGCCTATGGCAAAGGCCCTCTCTCCACCACCCCACCCATCTCCATCTCCCATTTCATTCCCTTGGCTTGCCTTCCAATCAAATTCCGAAAAGTTGAGAACAAAATAAAATCAGGGTCTTCAGCATCTGCCCCAAAAGGCCAGAAATCTCCTTTTAACTATGCGATCAAAGCTCTAATCTTTGCCACATCTCTACACGTTTTCCACAACAAACAATATATCCACCCAAAAGTCATACTCTTCCTCTACTCAATCTACATGTACACTGGCCTTGAACTTGTCCTGGCATTGGTTGCTTCCTTGGCTCAAGCCTTCCTCGGTGTCGATTTCGAGCCACAGTTCGACGAGCCTTATCTGGCCACGTCACTCCAGGACTTCTGGGGACGAAGGTGGAACATCATGGTCAGTAGAATCCTGCACCCTACCGTATACGACCCCGTCCGGAGCATCTCCAGCCGCGTGATCGGGAACAGGTGGGCCCCGCTTCCAGCTGTGATCGCTACCTTTTTCGTGTCGGCAGTGATGCATGAGCTGATCTTCTATTACATTGGACGAACGAAGCCCACGTGGGAGCTCACGTGCTTCTTTCTACTCCACGGGGTGTGTTTGGCCGTTGAGATTATGCTCAAGCAGGCGTTTGACGGTAAATGGCGGTTGCCTGCGGCCTTGTCAGGGCCGTTAGCAATGACGTTTGTGGTGGTGACGGGGCTGTGGCTGTTTTTGCCGTCTCTGTTGGTGCGGTGTGAAGCGGACGTGATGGCATACAGAGAATATGTGGCTTTCACCGAGTTTATGGAAAATGTTAGCAACTTTGTTAAACCCAATTCTCTCTTAATTAAGCGTAGTTGGTAAATACTACATGAGTATATTGTAGGGGATTAATTACTGAGCAATAATCCCAGTCTTATTAAATAAAAAAAGATCCAAATTGCAAATTAAACTTTACATTATTTGTGTGCATCAATCAAAGTCGGTCTAGATTTCTTTTGATACCATTTTCTTCCCGTGGCTACTGTTGCATGGTGGACCAGAACATTTAATTTGAAGCTTAAAGTTGTCCAAATCAAATGATCTTTATAAAGTTGTATCTGCTTTTGAATTTTTTTGTCATGATCAAGTGATGCTAGTAATTCATGTGTTAGACTCTGCTGGTCTAGTCTAATAGTAATCATTATTATTTATGCTTCTAAATTTGATTTAACAACTCTAATTGTGGTTTCGTCAAAGAGCCACAAGAAATTACTGCAATCGCTCGCTACTCTTTGGAATTCAGACTTTTCCGACACAAGCATTTTCAACTCAACAAAATGATGTTCGTGGACTAAAAAGCAAAAACCAAAAAGCCGATGGATGTCAGTCAGAGTCTGGTATAGAAATTAAAGTATTAGAGCTTGACGTTGAATTTTCAACCCATATGCAATTGCTTCCAACACCACACATGCATAATAAGTTAACCCATATGCCATGCATGATGCAACACACATATAGAAACAACTATTGCAATTGGATTTGGAGTAGAAGTTGCCAAAATCAATTTAATTGTTTGCTTTTGTGACACCAAAGAGTCGTAAAAGGAAAAGACACTCTAATAATAACCGCACCAAACAAGGAAACAAAACAAAATTAACCTTTTGCCGGGACAAACAGTACTTCCCACACAACTAGTTTGCACATGACCATCACTTTTGCCGGCCCAACATGAAAGCTACTTCCCGCTTTTAAAAGAAAACATTCTTACTTGCAATAAATCATAGTTTGATACATATATAAAATGATTTATTAAAAATACACGCACATATCAAACTGTAATTAACATAAAAGTAAGAGTCCCTAATCCACCGATGAAGCCGAAGTATTTCCTAACCAACAATGGCAAGGGGCAGGGATTAATGGTCCATGTGTTATGAGGCCCAACGTCAAGCCGAATGCAATTCCATTAATCTTGGGTAACTACCACAACTAAGCCCATTCTGATCCCACTGCTCTAAATTCTGAGCCCACATACCCTTAAGGGCTGCATGATACTGCAGTTGGTCATGGTATCAATTTCTTGTTTATTATTATTATTATTGTTATTGTTGTTTACTGTTGATAAAAATTACGCTGACGCGGCAGTAGCTTATTAGCTACTAATAAATCCCAATCTGTTTCATCCCCATCACAGCAAAACCAGAGCTTGGAGAGAGCCTAAAGTAACGTACAGCTTTGTTTGTTTTTGGAAGACAATCATATCATTCAAGGTAAGAAGGTTCCTCCTTTTTTCTCTCTTGCTGTGTTTTACCTTTCATATTTTTATTTAGAATATGTTGAAGATCCAATTAGAGTTTGAGCTCATTGATATCCGATTGGATTCTGATCTGTAAAATTATGGTTTTGCAGATCAACTGATACTGTTAGCTGATTTGATTGCCTAAAGAAAAGGGTTGGAATCAAATAAGAGCGTAATGGGTTTTGTGGTTACAACTCTAATCTTTGCAATGGTGGGCGTAATTGCTTCCCTTATGGTCAGAATCTGCTGCGGTAGAGGCGCTTCGGCCAATTTGTATGTCTTACATGCTCTGCTACTTTGCTTTCTCTTCCATTTATTCCACAATGCAAAACCTTATCATATGAATTCAAAGCTTTTATCTTGTTAATTTTGTTTCCAGTTGTTAATTCAATAATGGAGTGGAAGTAAGTCTGAATGTTAATTTGGACATAGTTGATGATAGAAAATTGGAGATTAGGAATGATCAGATCGAAACTGTTATAGTCTATATGCCGGTTAAGTTAATAGATAAAACACATTTGTAGTCCGTTTTAGCGTATCCTCGATTTTGAGTGCCTCTCTTGTTGTTGCATCAAAACATTATGGGGAAAAAATCTAACACATGGGATTGTTGGAAAAGAAAATAAGAAATATGGTCGTGTCGTGTTGATTTAAAGTGTGAAATATGGTGCTAAGTCGGGTTTATATCGGGAGGAAGACCGTGATCATTGTGGTTTTCATGTTACATCTAAGGATATCATATCAGTGAGAGTTCTAGTTAGACACATGAAGGAGATCCCCTTGAATGTATAGATTAATTGGGTATACTTGTGTGTGACATATGTTCTATTATTAGCCTGAATCTCTGTGGAAAATATAGTTTTGATCCTAAACATCTACATCTACATCAAATGAGAAATGGCCTTGTTGCTTCAATGTTTACTCAACATCCACATCTAGTACTTACCGCTGAAATGTTGTTTACATGATTGAGATTGGAAAATTTTTGGATCTTCCCACAGTGGGGGCTTCCTTTCAAATCCTCTGGCAGCTAAGCTAATGTAATGTTGTTCATGTGCAGGCTCCATCTTACACTGGTGATCACAGCAGTAGTGTGCTGTTGGATGATGTATGTTTTCCCTTTGATCTTTTATTTTAGTTTTGTTGCAAACTTGCTCACTTGGATATTGACTTTGCCCTGCTCTTTTCGATACTTGTTAGGTGGGCAATTGTATACGTTGCACAGATGAAACCGCTCATTGTTCCAATCCTCAGTGAAGGAGAGTGAGGTGAAACATTGAAGAATCTGTCCATGCAGAATTGGGTCACACATCATCGTTTCAGACTTCCCATTCGGGATTTAGATGTATAATTTTGGAAGAGAGTTGGTCGGAATTTAAGAGACCTGGGATTGGTCGTTGTATTGCCTTCTCCCAATATATTTGTTTGCTTCACCTTCATCCTAGTAAAACAGGGTGATAGAACAGTCTGTATTTTTATTTTATTTTTTGGTCGTAGATAGACCAATGTGTGTATGTATGTTTTTTTTTTTTTTTTTTTTTTTTTTTTTTTTTTTTAATCGTGAAATAAAAAGTCGATCTTGAGTGTCTAGCTCATCTCTCATTGGTTTATATATGTGCATGAAAACTATAGATTGTTTGAGGGCAGTGTAAGAACTGGAAGCTTCTTCTCTCGAATGGTGGTCTGAGAAAGAATTGGGCTAGCTACCTTCCCTCACGCCTTTCCTATTCAGTCCATGACACGTGTATTTTACACACATAATGTTACAAGGAAACAAATGTATTCTACACACATAATGTTGAAAGAAGGAATTCGGGGTGTTGGTTTTATTATAGGTGATTCTAATGGTAACCTTGAGGGAGCAGTTGCGATGCGGGCGCCTGTTATGGTCTCCATCCTTGCGACAGAATTATATGCGTTGAAGGCTGGCCTTCTTTTTGCGATTGATGCTTCCTTTATACCTCTGATGGTTGAATCCGATTGTCTGAATGCTGTAAACATGATCAATAGCGGAGATGTCTGCTTTGCCACCGAGGGGGGGTCTAGTGGAGGAAATCCGAAGGCTGCTGCACCATAATCCGTCGGTGACTGTTTGGCATATCCCTCGCCTTGCTAATAAGGTGGCTCATCGGATTGCCAAGTTTAATCTATGTGACAGAGATCTCTCATACTGGCTGGAGTCGGGGGGCCATGGCTCATGGATTGTATCCAGGATTATTGTCTTTCTTTATAATATTGATTTGTCTCTGTAATTGATAAGTGTGACACTCTTTCCTATCCCAAGTTTTATTTTATGTAATTTTCTTCGGGAAGGCTTTAACGGGCCACGTTTTTACTTCTTGTGCTATTCAGTTTCGATTGATTAATGAAATTGTCTCATTCTCAAAAATGTTACAAGGAAACAATTTTCAAAGTCTTCTACATTTACTCAGAAGGGGCGGTTTTGTCTTGTGCACTGGTGCAAGTAGTTATCCTACAGCATGGGTCTGGAATCTGGATCAACACACCATAATAATAGCTCATTGACCAACTCCAAAATTACTTTGTTTGTGCTGACCTTAACTGAGCACTGGTAGCTGGTGATGTGGTGCACTCTAGAGACCGGACATAGAAATACGCGCAGATTAAAACGTTGTGCAAACCAAGACGTGGCATTCAATGGCACTAAATGAGGTAGTTGTTCAACGAGGCTGAAAACCCTCTTCTACATGCATGTAATGTAACAGACAAGAATATAAATCACTTAGCCAGGCATCTACGACTCATTTCAGAAGCGGATCATGGAGAAAAGGGCTTCTACACAAGCTGCTGTGCCACTGATGCGGCTGCTGCTGCTTTTGTGGTTGTTTGTGTTCCCAGCACTGGCTTGCCCATCGGACGGCAGTCAGTGTAGAGACTGCGTGGCTAATCAGATGAAGTTTGGATGCCCAGAATGCACGCCGGTTCTGCGGTGTATGGCTCGATGCTTGTGGGGTGGAAGCTCAAGGGCCAACTGTGTCAAGATGTGTAACTGTGGTTCTGGTGGCAAACCTAAGCTCTCTGACTGCAAGAAGTGCATGTTGCGCTGCAAGTGCAACTGCATGTCATAGATAGATGACTTCCCAAGAAGCTCTGTGTCTGTATGTTTCTACTTATCGCAAATTTTATGCATCTCCAGCTTATTGAAAAATCTCTTTATATGGTTTGTAAATTAATTTCAATTTCAGTATCTATTTTGTGACAAAGAATCACAGCTAACATCACAAACATCAGATTTCTATGTGACCAAGACTGAGAATTTGAGAGTTATTTGAGGCGTTTCAATTTCATGAAACTACTACAAGTAGAGGTTTTATTCACGATAAATAAATAGACGAATAGAAAGACTAGCTATAACAGGCACACTGCATAACAATTACAATTTGCAGTCTGTACATTACATATTACGCACAAGCAGTGGCCGCACGCACTAGATCACGGCTCGTGCAGAAACCTCTGTAAGCAGCGAAACCCCAGATACTGAGCACAAAACCTCTCCATCTCCTCACCCCCTCTCTCCCTGCACACACCCTCCTCCATCTCCGCAACGACGTCGTCCCAGTTCCTCACAAACCCAGCATCTCCACATCCCCAAAAGCCATCAACATCTTCTGAAACAATCGCGTCTACGATCTCCTGCAACCCCACGATCCGACGGCTCACTTTTCTTCTCGCTTCTCTCACTGCGGGGTCCACCCCGCGAACGGAGTCCAGCTTCAGCAGCAACCTCATCAGCGCCTCGTTCATCCTCAGCTTCTCGCGCTCGCTGCTCCTCACGGCGTCGACCGTTTCCTGCCGTTGTATCAGGCGCTGGAACTCGTCGGCCTCGGAATGCACGGCTGCGATTGTTTTATAGAGAGTGCGGATGAGGTGGGCCCGGTAGGCGGATTGAATTTTGATGGCTGCGGTGGATTGGGGTACGTGAACGGTGATGGGAATTGGGGTAGCAGAGGACTGGGTGGGAATTTCGGTGGCGGTGGGAGGGGCAGGTTGGTCATTGTTGAGAGTGTAGGTGACGGTGGTGGTAGAAGAGGAGGAGGAAGAGAAGCTGAGCCTGCGACTGCGAGAGGGTTTCATATTCCGCTAAAAGCCTAGTCTAGTGCGTGTAGTGTGGATGATGAGTTAAAGTTTTGAGTGTGAAAAATGAAAATCGTCTGTGAATTTTAAAATAAAAAGAAAAAATTTCGGAACTGTAGGAGGTTCTTGAATGGTCTTGGCGCGTAACAGTGTTGCATGGGTGGCGTGAGCACTCAGCTCAGCAACCCCGTCGGTCCTCCCGTCCGTTAATTCACGGGACCACGCCCACGCCCCCTTTTTGGAGGAATGCTTCTTTTTTATTTAGTGTCACACGAAAAAGAAAAAGCAGCAAAACAAAAGCCTCCTAAAATTGCTGCGTAAACAGCAAAATCATTTGTGAATAGAGAGAGAGATAGAGAGAGAGGGGGGAATGAATTATTCACTAAATAGTACGACATTCATTGAGCACCGAAGTGAAGTCAAAATAAGAATTACATAACGACAACGGAAAAGTGAGTGGGACACACGGGGAATGAACTATTCACTAAATAGTACGACATTCATTGAGCACCGAGTGAAGTCAAAACAAGAAATACATAACGACAATGGAAAAGTGAGTGGGACACACAGCTCCAACAAGAAGAAGCAAAAGTCTTCAAGGAGGTGAAGGGACAATCTTTCCAGAGCATGTCCCGAAGCCAATGTTGTAACCATTCCCCTGCAATGGAAACATATTAGATGCTACACTTGCAATTGCACATGGTAAAAATATCAAAACACGACAAGGGATAGACAACTAAGCACGTAAAGCTTATCCTATCGCTGGATTAAACAGAAATCGCCAACTATGTGAAAACATAAATTAGCTTCATGATAAATGGAGCAAATTTTTCAACACAATATCGTCATGATCAAATATATGGAAAGCACTAACCTTGCTAACACCAGAAATGATGACTTCATCTCCATCTTCTAGGAATTTACGAGGAGTCCCATTTAAGGACAGCTGCTTTTGTCCGTTCCATGTCAACTCCAGCAAGCATCCATAAGATTCTGGCTCCTGTTGTGAAACACAAATGATGAATGGAGTTCACTCTAGCAAAAAATTTCACTCAAACAAAATGTCATATGTATGTAGGAATATATTAGAACAAACTGAAACCATACAGGTCCGCTGATGGTCCCTGTTCCAAGGAGATCGCCCGGCCTTAAATTGCAACCATTGATAGTATGGTGTGCTAGCTGCTGAGTCAATGTCCAATATCTGTATACGAGTTGCAGAAATTAAGATAACATTATAACAGGATCACACCAGAACAAATAAAAAGTATAAAAACATGGATTTTCTTTCATCGGATTATTTAGCATCCTGTTAAGCATTCAACTAAGCTACAAGGAACTTATGATGCCCCTTGGAAGTGCAGCACCAAAGAAAGCTTGGTAATGATGCATATAAAGCACTTTATACCAGACTGCAAGTAAACTACTACAGAGGAGATGTCCCAAGTCTGAGTAGGCATCATGATTGTGATCACTGTTGCATAGTTTTTGTTGAGGGAAGACAGAGAAAGCTAGGTAACTTATTCAATGGTTAACAGGGCAAGACGTTGTCCCAACTAAAGATTAAATATGTCGAGGAAGTAATTGGGCAGAAATCCTTACAAATTATTGAAATTACTCTTTGTGACCACATGTGAATCATCTTGTCCAGCAGGTTTAATTTGAACCTTGCAATAAAAGGCAGTTTCATCGTCATCTCAAGAATGGAAGAGCATATAACTATTTACAATCTTAACCTTTAAAAAGAACAAAATTCATAAGGCCTAGAAGGATGATTATTGATTTATGCATCACTGGAGATTATAAAAGAAACATGTTTATAAACTGAAAGAAGCAAGTGTGCCAACGAGATGGAAGATACCTCCAATGAAATGTCATAATTTTTGGAGATCTTTTCAGCCAGATAGGGCAATGGATGGGGGTCCTACAATTCGCAGCATGTATAACATAAATAAAAATCCACGCACAATTAGAAAGAAAATTGGGAAATTATGGTGCTACGCAAATCTGAGTAAGCACCTGTTTGGGAGCCTCACAAGAAAAAGGTTCTAGAGCTTCTAGCGTCACTATCCAAGGGGATATTGTAGTCCCTAATATTTACATTTTTACACAAAAATAATGTCAGTCTTGCAGTCAACCAACTGAGATAGTGCTTAAATCCAGTACTCTAAGCTACAGAAATGGAATGTAAGAATGAGGCGTCATGGTTTTCGGTTCTTACCAAAGCTTTTCCCAAGGAAAGGCCCAAGGGGAACATATTCCCATGCCTGAATATCTCTAGCTGTCAAAACCAACTTCTTATCAAGTATAACCAAAAGTTAAATATGAAGGATGAGAAGAACCTATAGAAGCAAGAAGCAAGCATACCACTCCAGTCATTCATCAACACAAGTCCAAAGATGTGATCTGCTGCTTCATTAACATCCACGGGCTTTCCTAACTCATTTCCAGGACCAACTATAGCAGCCTACAAGCAAAATGAGAATCGGCAGAACATAATAAATACAACGAGTTATGGACATAACCAAAATTATGAGGTTCTACAGTACTAGATGCTATACTAGAGCATAGAAAGCCTAACCATTTCGAGCTCAAAGTCTAGTTTCACTGAGGGACCGAAAGGTGGTGGAGAGTTTCCAGCAGGAGGGCCTTGACCTCTGTGATAAAACAAATAAAAATTGTATAATATAAGATTCCATTCAACCTGCGTACTCAATGAGCCTAAAAGCAACAATAGATAAATAAACTCAGACCTGGGTCGAGTAATGTCCGTTCCAGAGATAACAATTGAAGAAGCTCGACCATGATATGCAATTGGAAGGTGGAACCTGGGCATAAAGTAATATTCAGACTTCCTGGACTTGTAAAAACAATATTACAAGTAAAAAAGAACTTATGTTCTATGCGTTTTTCAAAATCCACATACCAGTTTGGTGGAATCGGGTTCTGTGGTCCACGAAATATTGTTCCACAGTTCTTTGCATGATGCAAGGATGAAAAGAAGTCCGTATAGTCCCCTATGGCAATAGGAAGAACCATTTCTACGTCGCTCTAAACATTGATCCACATAAAGAAAGACGAATAAATAAATATACAGAAAATGGGGAAAAATCTAAGCTTAAAAGTATCATATATTCAAAACCATATAATTTCTCAGATACCAGTGGAATAAGTGATTTGTGCCTTAAACTTTCATTGTCACGCAATGATGGCTCTGTAGCTGCACCAATAATTAACCAAATGAAGCTTAGTTATTAACTTAATGAAGTATAAACTAAACCTAATTACTTGAATAAATAAATAAATAAATAAATAAATAAATAAAGACGCATACATGACAATAGTTTCTGAAGCGTAGCACGCGCTTCCTTCCAAGCAGGCCGTCCCAATGCCAATAGCTTGTTCAAATTAGGCTAACAACCAAAACAGAGCAATTAATTACTGCATTGATCATCAATTATAGTGAAGATGGAATTTATGATCAAACGGACCTCGTTAAAGCAATCGGAGTTATTGAGGATCGGACCGTTGAAGAGGCCAGCTGCGGCGATTACAGAGAGGTCCAAGACGTAGTCACCGATTGCCACGCCCGGTCGAGCCACTGAACCTGGTTCAGGCTTGAAGACTCCGTATGGGAGGTTCTGTATGGGGAAGTGCGAGCTGGTGTGGACTTCGATGAACGACTTCAGAGCCATGCTGGAAACGGCGTCGTTGAGCTGTTGAAAATTTCGGACAAAGAAGATGGCAGAGCGGAGCTTGCAGTGAAGAAGATAGACTGAGGTGTTAATTTACATAGAAGCAAGAGTAAGTAAGTAAAGCTGGTTTTCTCTCAGTTTTTAAGGATAAAATAGTAATATTTTAATTGGGATTATTAATTTGGTGTGGAAGGTTGGCTAGGGACTTGGGATTATCGGTCCTAATTTTGAGTCATGCGGGTAGTTGCCTACCTATCTTTCAAAACGGTGCACTTGATCTACCCTCCTACGCAGACCTGGTAACGGGCCTATCCCGGATTGGCCTGGGGCTGGCTTGGGAATTGCTATCAGAATATCCGTATTTTCAATTTAGGATTAACTGGTAATTTACCTCATGAATTTCAATTTACTCTTTTCTTTTTATCTTCCTTTTTTTTTCAGAAAATTAAGGATATTAATTTTTTTTTGGCTAATTTCCCTTATGCCGTCTAAATCATTAACATTTCATTCAATTTTCTGTTAAATCATTAAAAATAAATTTACTTTTTTAGAAAAATATAAAGAAAAAAGAACAAAACAAAAACAAAAGTAAACCTATCCATACCCATAGACCCCCCCTCCCCTCTCATTTTTTCTCCCTCGACTTGACTACCCCTTCCCCACCTGCAACTCACCCCAAGACCCATTCGCAACCCATCCCATCTCCCCACAATCGTTGTCTACCTTTTTGCAACTTGTTGAGACCCAAAAATCCAAGGGTTGGGCTCGAATTTCTTTTTTAGCCCAGCACAAATAATTGATTGCAAAAAGAGCCCAATTGGGACATAATAGGATTTGTAGGACACATATGTACAAGCTAGGGGCTAAGCGTCACACCAAGTAACTATGCACAAAAGAGCCAAAAACGCATCAGCTCTATAAATTCCCACTTACAAATCTATTCAATGTTATGCGGCCCGATCATGGTTTATAATAACACGATGAAGTTCAAACACAAACATGCTAAATAAACACGCAATGTCATGTGAAGAACCGCTATTTTAATACCAAGCCATGCTAACAGGCTGAAGTGGGCCCAAACCAAGTAATTACTTGGGGTTTGCTGAGAAGGTTATGGTAAGGACGGGTACAAACACTCACAAGGCCTATTGAGGGGTCAAGGAATATGAGTTTTGGGCTGCTTTGGAGCACTAAAACTCAAGCCCATTTATTGAGCCCAAGCACATGGGCTAGCATGAGAGAGAGAGAGAGAGAGAGAGAGAGAGAGAGAGAGAGAGAGAGAGAGAGAGAGAGAGAGAATGATTC